CCCACCCTATCCTCAAATTAGAATAACAACTCCAAATTGGAACACGCAAAACATTTAGTTAAACTGACCATCTGTATCTTCGCTGTTTTCCTTCCCTTCAGTAGTGCGTGTTACTGTAATAGTCTCAGTATAAATGTAGTTCAGGTACATTAATATGCAACCTGGGTGTGCCGATATACTACCCTTCTATTTCAAGCTAGCAGTTGGCAGGGTCTTGCTAAAGGACAATAATATACAACTCGATGAAGGACTCATTGCCCATAACTCATTGGCGCTCACCGGGTTAGCTGGGCACGTAGCTAACAAGTCATTGGCTATTGCCCTCCCAACCTTACTTTCGCTTAGGATTTGCAATAGGCTAACACATGGACCGTATATAGACTTCGTATGCGTCTTCACGAGACGAGAGGCTGGGCAAAGAAAGCTATGTCAGACGATCGTGCCATAGCTCTTTAATAGGGGAGGGATGAGGAAACTAGCGCAAATAAGTCCCCGTTTGTAACGATCCTTTTCCTGGAGAAGGTTAGGCGCGAATGAAGAAAGAAGGCCATTCGCTAGGACAAGAGTAGTAGTACCAACCTCACGATTCATTCGGGCGGTAACAGTCTGTGATAGTGATAGGAAACTTCTGGCCGACCTGGGTAAAACTACACGAACCTATGTATATATTATAAAGCAACCAGCAGATGATTCACTTGGTAGGAAATGTCATACCGTCCCCACAGTGATACGGTCAACTGGGATTGAAAGCACCTGTCTAAGTAAACACTAGTCTGATTAGCTGTGTGAGGTACTTAACAGATGTAGCAATCTGTTCATTACTCTGTTCACGCAAACATGCTCGATTTTATGAACATAGTGGATCAGACAAAAACGATGCTGCCGTCTATTTAATCTATAAAATTAACAGTTTTATTATGCATTTGCAAGCACAAGTCAGTGTGAGTCTACGCATCTTAGTTTTAAAAAAATTGCGTAAAGCTATCTATTTTTCTAAAAAGCATAACCGTCTCAACCTGTCGAGACCGTCCCATCGTACCGAAGTTATGTATATCTCCTTTTTAGAGCAACATCGACTATGTACACGGAATCTTATTGTGAAGCTGCGTATGTAGTTTTGCAACGTGCAATAGACGGTCTTTTCAAATTGCCAGGTTAACAGATGCTGCAAACTCGTCTTGCTTTTGGTCCTACATCTAACAAATAAAACCAAATGGTAACCTTACTCATCTGAGCGTATGTACGTAGCTGAAAAAACATTTTAAATAAATTCACGAAGCAATAATAAAGTACATCATACATAACAAAACCTAACCGTCATGCACTAGCCTTAAGGTTACGGAGGAAACTTGTTGTTTATATTGCCTTTCTTTGGGCAGATAGTAATCAAGTTCATCAAGTGAATCGCCATCTTATCTAACTCGAAAATCTCAAAAAAGTCTTTCTGCGAAATATCTTTCTATATAAGCGACGTGACTTCCGTATCCCGACTGACAATGTTTGAAATAACTGCTTTTCCGTCGCATATGAGTCCGTGCGAGTATCCATCTTCTTACGAATAATTCCTTGCCAATACGTATCTCTCAGTCGGCATCTATTACCGAAATCAATTTCAATCGTGCTCCATACCTCGAAACGGGCGTCCTTGTTACTATGGTCATCTCCATCCTTTTGCTTTAATCCTAGATTTCTTTTCTAGAATCGTTCATTCATCGGCCAACCCGTCTCAGTCCGGCGTTTTGCCTTCACGTACAGCTTCCTATTTCTTTACGGTATCTACTACAAGCAGCTTGTTCCCGTTATTTTCTAATGTTCATTGGTCCAACATCCTGAGAAAATGCCACGGTATATTGCACCGCCCCCATACCCTTATATTTATCCGGCTCACTTTCAACCGCCGTTCTCCTCGAGTGCTGAAACAGATAGCTTTAAAGGCCACTGAAGGCCCTTTTATATTGGGCTTTCGCTGTCAGCGACGGCCACCACAAGCAGCCTCGATCAACCGCCATCGGATGTTGGGTTCGCACAGCCGACTATATACAAGGTTGTGCGCTGTGTACATCCGTTTACTAGTATCGTTCGGGAGGAGGTCATTGAGTGTATTGGAGCCCCTTGCTCGGTCAAGACCGCTTCCATTTCCAGTAGCCTATATTTCCCTGAAGCACAGCCAGTTCCGTAGAAACTTGCGTGCCGTCCGGTCTAGACGGGCCGACAAGCGAGTGAGCCACAAGCGCGACTAGCATAGATTATCTACGTAGCTGTTTTCTCTGCGTTTGTTTTAAGGGGGCTTGGGGGACAGAGAGCCACTAACGGTTCTGGTAACTTTCTTCAAATTCAAAAAAATGCAGACTATCCGTCGGCCTTGGCCAAGGCCAACCAGCGTTTGGGATTGGCTCTGCCATCGCCATTGCTCCTATCGCTGCAACGCCAACGACTTCTTGGAATTCGCACGACGTTGTGAATGAGGCCAACGGCACACTCGCATGAAATACTTTCACAGATCCAGATGTAAACACAAGCACCCACACAAACATACACGCAAACCACCACTATTCCAGCGATTGGCACGCAATAGAACGATGTAGTGTTCATTGGCGTTCATGTGACTAGAAAAAGGAGCAGCCAGCGACGCAAATTGCTCCTGAATGGTAGCGTGATAGGACCTTCGGCCAAGAGCGACAAAAAACAACGATCGCCATTTTTCTTGACTTCGTGTGGGCTGCAGGGTTGTCTATTTCAGGCTCATTTGTAACTCAAGAGAGAAAAGCTGAGAAAGGCTGAACAACAGCTGAGTAACAGTTGACCCTTCTCTCATATAGGCGTTGCGGCTCTGGGAAAAACAGTCGTTTAGAGCTGCAAGGAAAACGTTGCGAGTAATAGCGACATGGAGAAGGAGCAATATACAGCGACTACAGTTCGAAACCCACGTAGGTGTTTGTAATAGGTGGCTTGATCTCAGTCACTACCCCGAATTCTGGCAATTTAGCATTAAAACGCACGGAAAAGCCCGTACGAACAGCTGAGTCATGATAAACTGCAAAGACATGTCTTATACAATTTAATAAAATACGACTTTCGTGTCTGCTGCTACTGTGGTTACTTTTAGCTACTTCAATAGATGTGATTTTCATTACCACAAGCCCGCTTCTTCTGGATGCTGCACTTGATGAGATCCCCTGCTAAGAGCCGCTTCCCTTCGCCTGTATACTGCGTACTCAAACGAGAGTACACTTGCTTATATATTTACAAGACGGAGTCGTCAACAGAGTTCATCCAAGAAAGGACGCACTGTGACGATATGGAAACACTCTAGGGGTAACGAAGGGATTTGGATCTTAACCATATTTCGAGGAATCCAACTTCCGAGGGTCGATTATATGTGTGTGTATATCTATTGCGACTCGATTGCCAACTACCACCCGTAAGTATCTCATATTCGATACTGTCCTCGTTACTCAAGCCCTCTATATCCCACTCATTGGGTAGTTGCGATCCCAGCAACATGGAACAGTAACATTGCAGCTTGCTTAACTGCTCTCCCAAGAACTGGCACAAGGAGCATCGAGCACCTGTCTATGTAGTAGATACCCAATAGATTGTCTAGAGATGCAATCGGAAAGCGCCGTAGTTACCAATGCCTCCCGCCTTTTACCATCGACACTGTCATGCCATTTCCTCTTTTCCGGTCCTAATCATTTGGGCGCCAACTCGACGTACGAACGCACCGTGGCATAAGGTAATCCAGCCCGTAACCGCTGCATAACAATCTCCATCGGTTGTCCTGCTCTCGCTGATGCTCACTGGCTTTAACTAGCGGTAACGATGACCGCGTTATCGCTGAATTATCTTCGAGAAATGTCGTCCCGAATATTTGGTGTGGTCACATACTCTAATAGCAATAATATTGGCAGAAGTCTATGGTCGAAACATAGCAGAGGCTTCAGCAGTCTTTCGCCTGATAAAGGATAGAAAATATCGAGTAATGTGAAAACTATTAGCAGCAACGACTAAGGCAAGAATGAAGAACTGTGACTTGAAGATCGAATAATATGTGCAGATTAAGAGATTCAAAATAAGTCACTAAGCGCCCTATACATATCAGTAGGTCTTAACTGGCGAGAGCCTATAATACGTTTAGTTGACTCTTCGTGTCTATAAAATAAAACAAAAATACAATTTGTTACAAACTCTTCTTTTATTCCCGTCAACAAAACGCACCAGGCGTATTATATCACTCAATTAATAGTTGAACTATAATGTGTAAATTATTTATATATGATCTAACCTCAAGAGTATTCCACATAAACCATTTTTGTTGATGGTCTTTTTTCTATCCGCTTCACAGGAAGCCATCATTATGCCTCAGCATGCGCACTCTAAGCAAAATAACGGTTCCTTCATAGGTTGAGTGCGAATACTCAGTGAAAGATCGACGCAGACGAGGACGACAGAGGCTCATTTTCGATTAATTCATTCATACTAATGAGAGCTACTGTCCTATAATAGCTACAATTCTGAATCACGCTAACGTGCGGTACAACAAACACCCGGCCGCACCTTGCGGCCTCCGTAATAAACCATCAATTTTTTTGTCCATCAATGAATAGCTTCTTGCCTCATGCGAAATAGCTAGACGGTCACCCACGGGGTTAGTTGTATAATTTAATAACGTTATTCCACGGGTCATATTTTGTGTATTCGCTTATATCCGGTGAAGTTTATTATGGTGTACGTTGCATCGGCCAAGGACGCTAACAGACGCGTTGATAAATGGGCTACGATATAACTTAGGTGTTGAATATATATAAAACGGTACGCAGCAATTCACACCGAACTGGATATGATACTAAAAGTACGTTCCGTGGAGTAACCCAATTTGCTTTGAAGTTAGGTGCATGCATCGATCATAAAGAAACGCACAGATACGCCACCGTATCGCTCGATATCCAGATCTAGCGTAGCGTTATTTACCAAATATTTTTGTCTTATTTTCCCCGTAGGGTTGGGCGAAGCTGTGGTAAAATTAAGAGAACCGACGGCTAGGCCCGAGGCAGGCGTCGACCTGGTCCTCACCTGCGACGTTGACGGTAACCCGGAACCGCATCATATTGAGTGGTTCCGTAACGGAGTACGAATCCATCGCGGAAGTCACGTGTCGTTTCGGATTCCGCACGTCACCCTTTTTAACGTTTCAACAAAAGACAACGGAGTGTATTCTTGCAAGGTGGCCAACGATGTGGCAGTTGTCTCGAGTTCCACGCATTTTGTACTCGATCTTCAAGGTAAGCGTTTCAACTGCAGAAGAAGAACGAAACTAACTAATCGCATTTGATACGGTAATTCTGCAACGAGTTTCCCTGCAAAGGGGCCTGAGGGCGCTTTGGACGAAATGAGGAAAATTGATTTCTTCTTTACAGGAAAAATGAATAGCGTAGTTGTGGTAATACTACAGGTGGATCGAGTAACACGTTTGAACTAGGTTTGGCAAATTTCCCTCATCGAAGTAGCACCATGTATTCACATTAATATAGCCCGCGCCCCGCAAACGGCCCCAACTTTGCGCGTGTTTACTGTTTTTTTAGGTAGGTTTTTCTTTTCTTTCTTTTCAGTTTCAACTTTTCCGAATATCTTATCAGATTGTTTAATTAAAATAGATATGTAATTAAAAACCGCTTTAGCTTTGTCTATGATCGCTTCTTTTTCAACCAACTTTTGGAGCGCCTATGTTAGCAAATTTCCGAGAGTTTCTATCATGATATTGGACCCTTTTTGATACTTCCTTGAATTATTACTTCGAGCAAATGAACTCTGAAAATATGTCTAACTCGAACTTGGGAAATAATTAGCTTAGTCCCCTTTAAAAGAAACTGTCCTATCGTCATAGGAAGTACAGAAACTTACAGAAGCAGCACTGATTTATAATATTATACACACATCGATGGATATAAGCTGATGTATCCAAATGGGATAAGGCTACCGCTTTACTGTTGTTTTCATATTCGACTGCATATGTGAATGAGTGCTTGCACGTACGATATATATTACCCCTGCGATGGAGATATATATTATCTCCTTCCTGGTAGCAGGACGACATAAAGTTATGTATGAAATACAAACACACTCACCTGCAACTATCAAAAAAAAGCGTACATGATTTCAGTATTCAATCGTTCAAGTGCATGAACGAAAACTTTACATGCGTCAAATGATGAGGACACTGCTATTAGTTAAACGTGACTGTTTATAAACTGAAAGCATATATAACAGTCTATTCACATCCTTATAACGTTCTTCGGCATTGCTCTTTAATAACAAGTGGAATTCAACACGCAGTGAACCACGACGGGAGGTTTCGTTACGACGTGCGTCACGGGTTGTACCCGTTTCCGATGACAGCAAACAAATGCACAAAACGGAGTTAGTGTTTATCCGAACATTAAGTCGATGTGTATAAATACGGTTTCTAACACTATGCAGGGTATCGTACAAGGACACTTGACATTTTACATCTTTCGACGGTAGCAAGTGAGTAGCACGTAATAAGAGTGAAAAGGTTATGCTAAACGAACGTTCGCTACCCACAATATCAACTAAATTTCGTTTACTTTATGTGTATGTATGTATATATATAATCCTTCTCAATTTTACAGGACCTGGCGTACCTTCATTAAAGGTACGACCCTTAGATGTGATGGTCGCCGAAGGAAGTGACGCCATATTGGATTGTGCCTTTGATGGCGCCGCCATGGTGGAATGGTACGCACACGGCCATGACACCCCGCTACAAAACGGTAGTCGGATGACAATCTGGCCAAACAATTCGTTGAGCATCAGGACGGTCGCAAAGAAAGATGAGGGAATGTTCCAGTGTGTGGCTATTCCCAGGCACAGGGGCGTACCCCAACAGGTCTTCGCGGCGCGTCTGTCTGTTGCATGTAAGTGTCTTTCGTTCAAAACATTTTAAATGTTTTTGAAGGTTTCTTACGCCGTTCCAATAAAAGAAAGCTGTAACATGTTTTACATAGATACAGTAATTTTTCTAGCTACTTATACAATTGAAAGCGACATATCACTGGATCACTCTATTCGTAGTGGAATTCATTGTGATGGTATTTTACTTCATACATCTATAGTGTATATAAATCAACTAAGCTTATTATTAATAAGCAATTACCGTTACCAACATTGCTGGCCTATATAATGTGATGCTTATCTCTTTTTTGACTTTGTCTTTATTTTTATCTTTTTAGGCGAAACTAGACTAAAGACTAACTATTTTGCAAAAGACAACAGAATTTTTAGGTCCTTCGCATCACTTTTTTCTCATCTTTTGAGTCATTGTTATACCCACATATATACTGAACCGAAACACATATACTAACTCTGCAACCAGGTCTACATAAGAAAACGGGTCAGTTCTTAACCCCGACATAAGAACCCCTCACAACCATTGTTGCCTTGTAACCATTGCTTCTTTAATCTCGAACTTCAGAGAACCGAATTGCCTCTGGTTAACTTGGCCTTTGCCACGCCGGCTGTTGTTATTGCCTGTCAAAGAACTGAATTTGCGTAATCGCCATATATACGTTTTATATATGCCAGTATACGGCAAGCAAAGACTACTTAAGGAAGGGGCAACTGCAATCGCAAGACGAAGGAAACCTCCGTCACCGAGCGATTTGGGTGCTCCCACCGTTTTCTTGCACCAACCCTCATGAATGGTCTTTCGCCATAACAAGATGGTACAACAAGCAAGAAGGACCAACAACGTGGGAAGCAAGATGGGCCAATCTTTCTTCGTAAAAACTAGAAAGGGAAAAAGAGGGGGGACGAGCGGTGAAGCACACGGCGGCGAGCAGAGTTATGTCTTCACCCCAATCTTTAGGGGCGCACGATCAATGGTTGGCTATCTGCGGCTTCTCCCACTATTTCCCCACGTATTAGTATTCGCCGCCTAGAATTACTCCTTGCTCATTGCCCCAGCTAGCGCAGGTAGTTGAATCGCTTCAGCACGATCACCTCGAAGAGGCCAGCATTCCCCTTTCCCGGTCACTCTAGCCCTTTTTGGCATCTCCACCTTGTTTCTGTCTAAACGGGACAACTTTAGGGGCTCCTGCTACACTTCGACCGATGGTACCGATCATAGCGATCTGCCAGCTTGTGATAGTCTGGCGACCTGTTCTGAGTGGCTATATTGACGGCGCTACCCCGATACTTCCGTGCGGAACGGTCTTATACAGCTGGCAAAGCTGCTGAATCCAATGGGAGAATGGCAAGTGAACGAACGAGAGGCAGAGAGACGACTCTGTCCGTTCGAGCCTGCTCGTGTGAGACCCAGCCTAGTTTCCTGGCTCCATGCCTCTGTCTTTGCGCGTGTGTATGTGTGTATGGAAACAAGCTTTGTCTTGATGGTCATGGTGGCGTCGACCGTCACCGTCGCAAGCGTCGTTGTCATCGTCGCACTTCTAGGAATTGCACATTTCAGTTTAGCCCGACCCAGCCTGAGAGCGAGGAGAAACCGTGGGACAGCAAGCGGTCGATGGGAGAACGGGTGGGGGACATAATGCTAGGCAATGAGTGGCCCGATTCTTCACTGGATTGCGACTCACTAGAGAGTACAGAGTCGTACAGCCATTCCAATGACGATGGGTGTTCAGAAGCAAGACCCAGGGGCAAACCAACCCGCTTACGCTGGTCGTGGCGATAGCGGAGATCCAGGAACTTAACTCGCGTCTGATTCTTACTCTAGCAATACAGTGGATCACATATAGAGCCTCAGGCGCATACACACGAGTCAACACAGTCAAACGGTGACGCACACGAAGCATTCCGATATCCTGCTGAAGCGTTGCGATAGGTTAATCGTAGTGGTTCCAGCAGAACACTCTGTGTTGAACCACGAAAGAGAAAACAACCTATCTCCGAAACTAGTCCCGTAGTAGGCGCTGCTTCCAACATGTCGCCGACAATCAATTGCGATCCTAGTCAATCTATACATAGGGCAAGCACTTATCACATATTTGCCTACGCTAGTGGTGATATAATGCGTTGTGAACTTCTGCTTGTACGGATTCTCACTGTACTTGTGTTTCTCATAGGGATCGGTGATTTTGACCAGGAAACTTCAATTGAACCTCCCAACTCGTTGTCGTCATCATCGTCAAGTTACGACCTTACCTACGTCACTCGTTTAGGGGGCAAATTGCGTTTGTTGTGTCTTCCACCGGATGGGATACCGACACCACGTTGGTATTGGACACGACCTGGAGGTCACGTTGTGTCGGATAAAGGACGACTTCGTATCAACTCGAATTCTGAATTAGAACTAGATGACATACGGCTAGAAGACGCAGGCAACTATACGTGCCACGCTGAGAACCTTGCAGGAAAACGAAGCCTTGTCGTGAACCTCATCGTAACAAGTGAGTACAATTGTAAACAGGGAACATTCATATAATTATTAGTATTTATTTAACAAAAAAAGGCCACTTTGGCTAGATTTCTAGTTAGCTGCGTCAGTTAAATTGGTGCCTATAGCATACATATATAGAAGGAACGTGTCAAGAAAAAACTTCCGAATATCGATAATTTAAAGTAAATCCCTATAATTATATTCTACAAAAAATTATTTTCCACCGGCTGCTTTTCACTGCTTGTCATCTCAGAATGCTGCGACATGAGCGGTTTCGAAACTGCTTTTTAATTAGTACTCACGATTGCACGTCTATGACAATCCTGTAATTAAATACGAGAAGTAAAAATTACTTCATTGGGAAGCTTGTCGTCAGCTCACATGCCCCTGAATTGAGCGGCCATGTTTAATTACATTTCCTGCCGCGTGGTTGTTACTACCAAAATATTACAAATTAGAGAAAGGACCATATAACTATGCGTTAGTATACGAAATCTGGCCCTGACCTGATCTACTTTGTATTACGGTTTCATTCTGTATTATTCACTGGCTATTTCTGGCAGTAATATGTTTTTGACCAAATAGCCAATACAGGTCAGGTTGTTCGATTCGTTTGCCGTCTTACTGGGCCAAAGTCAATTAAATTTGGAACTGATTAACCTAAAGTCCCAGAGATATAAAGGCTCAAAGCGGGCAAAACATTCAAAGGGTCCAAAAGAAATGTAAGAAAATGTTGGTGTTTATATGGACAACCCAATCGGCAAATGATATTAGAACGGCCGTTAGCTTCCGTACCAAAGACCTAGGTGAATCAAAAATGACTTTTCAAGCCATTTTGATAAAATTTCAGGTCTTTTAAATTTAAAACCCTATTAAAGATCTTCCACTTTGCCTCATGAAAACTAGCAATAATTAAATCGTCGATTTAGGCAAAAAAAAAGTTTTCAGTTTCAATAGGAGTTTGTCCAACGCGGGAAGATTAGGTAATAGCTGACTTCCGTTCAAAATTCGAAGACGACGCCCTGTTTTGCCGTGATGAATATGCTGTTTGATTCCAACAAAATGACTCCCGTCTGCTAGCAAGAATAGCGGATGAACGCATGCCCGCTAGGACGAAAAGTCCGTTATATTTAGTCTGAATTTATATGTCCTACTTTGCATATAGTTTGTGGTACATAACTTGTTAAATTCTGGATAGGATTAGCTAATTATTTTCTGGTGATTAGGAGTATGGTTAGCAATCCACCCCATTTCCGCGGTATATGTAATTTTCATCTCGTCACATTTTTGTCTACGTAAATGCGTTTATTTTTTCTTATTTATTTTTTTTTAGCGTTGCTGAGGTACGGTTCCTTCGCAGTGCTAGCTCTAAGTATTTCTTCACTCGACGGCATCACCTAATTAGATACTCGCACCGCTATATATCAGCTTAAAGCACGCCTCACAGATAATAATATATCGGAAACAAGCCCGGCTGTAGCAAATTAAAGGAGGTGACGATGTTGATAATGGCATCGTACTCGACAACCATACGGCTTTCGCGGAGGTCATCTCTGCGAAAAACGTAATTCTCAGGGCGACTTGTTATGCTGCCGCTGCAGAGAACGGTGATACAACCAGCGCAGTCGAGGGAGTTGTTGGCTTGCCGTTGAATGAAAAAAATAAAAAAATCATTGAACATTTCATCTTCAAAATTTACGTTCTTGTCGTTTTTACCGCTCCCTGTTTGCCTCATGCCTCGTACTATTTCATTCTAGAAAATGAACCGCATTGCCCAATGCCCCCGTGGCCTGCGCCGTCAGGACTTAGGAATCGAGTTGCAGTTCGCTTTAATTGTGCATCAAACATATCGTCATCGTATGCCGCCCCGGGTCTTATACTGAGTGTTGGCATGACGAGAATTATTTTGTGTAGGCAAATGCAGCACCAAGGTATTTGGAAGATGTGTTCATGCGTATGGGCGAAAAGGATAGAGATGGGATGGATGGGCCGCAATGGAAGCATATGCATCTCCCGCATGCTTAGTAACTCGCCCACAGAGAACAGTCAACATCATTTATATGCTGTAAAGGCGAAATAAACGATGATGCGCACGGGAATGGGGCTCTAGCAGACTGCTTGTGATTATCCCGTTTGCAAAAATAGATAATTTCATGTGCAAATTTAGTCTGATACGGAATATTTATCTATTTCATTTTGTCATTTCGGTCCGTTGTATTTTTTTTAGCTTTGGATTGGCCATTGCGCTAAGTCCGTTTATCTCTTGGGGCGCTAAAGAGATGTACCCTTTGACCTGCTTCGTCTACGCTATACGATACTTAATTGCTCAAAGTAGGACGTTATACACCCGGCAAAAGGATGAATGTACTCAACCTTCTGCAACAATTTTACAAGAGAACACTCGACGACGGAGTGGCCGAACTCCCGCCTTTCACGCAGACAACTGGCCTGACCCAGGGGGAAAACCTAAGCCTACTCTTATTCTTTATCTTACTGAAGAGACTTTCTGATCTAATAAGAAACCGAGGAACTCAGTCGAAATTACTTTGTATCCAGACATCCTAACGATATACGGGTCAAACGGATTCCAAGTGCAGCGAGCTTCAGTCCGGCTCCATGCAGCTGTCACAGATTTGGAACTGACGGTAAACCTGAAGTTTAGCCAGGAAGGCAGGACAGCGGCCACCGCCAAATACTTTGGTGCCGCCTTTTGCCTATGTCGGCGAATGTCTGTACCTAGAACTGCTCCCACCTGCGAACGGCAGAATTTTCATTGTGCACGTGACCGTAAAACGCAGGAAGGCAGTCGGCTGCATAAGCGATCAATCGCCTAATCGCTTGTCACTTGTAACCGTTCTCAGCTTGTTCAACCTTAAAGTAGTTCCGACCGCAGCAAATGGGATACGCACCATTTAGGAAGATCCTTCAGTGAAGAACCCCGAAAAATTGAAGTGCGTCAAAGTCTCCTTCTTCAAAAGAGCGCGGAGTCTATGCATAGCGACCCGAAATCGCCTCGTGTATCTTTTAGCCGACTCATCATTCTTGTCCAAGGGCCTATGTCATCGCTTTGAGCTCCCTACTATGAAGGCCTTCAAGCCGATTCTTGAGAGCTCAAAACAAAAATTCACGGAGATCGATGGGGATTTCTTCGCTTTGAATGCGATAAAGAACAACAAATGGAAGCGAACAAACCGACTAAACAAACGTACTGTCTCTTGTTTCGTTGAGCGTGGCTTTCACCATGAACTCTGCCAAAAACCGGATTTGCATAAGCCTGACGATACATGTAGGACCCGGGGAAAATTGTGATGAATGTCATGCCGCTCCTTGCCCCTTAGTACCATATTTAAAGCGTCTGGCAAATCTCTCAAGTTAGTCTCATAAACTCAACTACTCATATAACGGAAAGTAGTTTAACTTATGTACTCGTTCTTACATTGAACTATTGTGCTATTGACCCGTATATATGATTTTTTTACTGCTATTAACAAAGAAGAAAAATGAAATTGATTGACATTCTGCAATAGACGTTTCTTTTCTGGCAAAGAGGTGCTAAAAATGCGGGAAGTCTCCCTTCATTATGAAAACTTAGGCGCATCGTGGCGTATATCGTACCTAGCCCAATTCTAAACTTTGAGCGTTTCTCTGGAAGCGCAAATGGATTTGGGTTGCTGGGTTATGCGACAGATGAAAATTTGAGAATTGCTGAATATAACTTGTCCTCAGCCGTTCGGCATTTGTGAAAGGCTAGATCAGAACAGTTCTCATGACGTGAGCTGCGTTCTAAATCGGTTGAAGTTTGCAATATTATCATTTTGTTGAGGCGCTCAACGAAATCTGATCACTGAAGTACTACCGTAAAATGTAGAATACTAATAATATAAGCGAGAATCAATAACGCTATATTAAAGCTAAGTGTTGGGAGCTGGGCCATGTCAGTGGATTGTGTATGACGAAAAATTCATTTTTTAAACTAGAGATTAAATGAACGTAGGCTTTTCGCGGGCTAGGAGACTTTGGAAAGATACTAAGGAAATATAGAGGACCTACAATATTGGTGAGTCTATTTATAGGACGTGCATAGAAGATGAGGGTCCCTAAGCATTCTTCAGAACTGACTCTCAGCTTCAACAGATATCGGGAACGCTATTTAGCATTATTGCAATGATCTGTAAGGGGTATGGAGAAGTGACGATAGGTGATGTTGCATTTGTATCATTTGTGAGTCGTGACATAATTTTCTCTCAAAAGACACGCTTGACTTATTGGAATATATATTCTATGTGTATCAATATAATTTCCACAAGATTGAATGCATCGTGATTCGTATGGATTGAAATTCGTAAATGAAGTAACTAGCCCGTGATCGCCTCACCTTTTATCAAAGCATCTACTATGATAAAAATTATTTTATAACAGAGGCATAGTGCTTGTTGATTTTGATTTATTTCATCATCGAAAATAAAATGCAATATTATTAGTTGCCATTAGTGCCAACTCGTAGTATATATATAATAGTGCGTTTCTTCCTAAACCAGAAGGGGGCATCACGTTGAGGAACCTGCACCGGTGGTCATTCTAAAGAATTACGGCGCGATATAAAAGTGAGAGGTAAGACTGCTCCCAAAAAGCGAGGGGTTACAATGGGGTGTTGTCCGTAGTAGATCTTGCAGCAGTACCGGTAGTGGCAGTGATAGAAGTAGTTGTGCGATACAGGCTACCCGTATGTTGTAAGCAGGCGCTAGCGCTTCGGCTATTTTGGAGTTGATCCTCTTCTCCGAGCAATGGACGCAGAGAAGGTGACCTGATTTTGGGTAGATCTGGAATGATGTCCCATTTATAACTCCCCGCCCCCTGAATAGGGTCTAGGCCCACGCCCAAAGTGTACCTAACGCCACCCGAGCAGTACACAATTGCAAAGGCATGGAGTAGAGGAGAACGGAGTCGGTGGAAAACCTGGGGCGAGCGACGGCTGAACCACAAAATAAACTAGAATACTTACTAAGGATTTACCTTTGAAACCGACCCGGTGCGCGGGCGTGGATGAACAGAGCTCTCCCTCTCCCTTTCCCTCGATTTCCGAGTTGAGCCCAATTGGTGGACTTGGGACGTGGAAAGCCTCGCACAGCGAACGACCCAACTGTGAGATCGTAGCGTGCGGGTTTTGTCTTTTATGAGTTCATTTAGTTCCGCGCACTGGTAGATTAAGCAGGGGACGCAAGTTCACTTTTGTTTTTTGAGTCAACGCGAGACAAACATGTGACACGGCGACCAAGGGTGCCAGCATATGTAATGTGTAGACTACACATTCTAAGCGCTAGGTAGGTGGAAAGTTTATGATGTACAGGAAGGCAAGGGAGAGCGAAGGCAAGCGGTGATATGATGTCTGCTAAAAGTGGCTTTTCCAATGCCAAATGAGAGAGATATAGGGATGCTGTATACACACGTAGTCTTGCACGGGACGCTCAAGGCACGTTGAGGCGTGCTTCGAAGCGTGCGCATTCTTATTTTGAAAAAAAATTGCGCTAGAGGAAAGCTGAGCTGGACCAACCCTAAGCAGTTTTCTTCACAATCGCAACAAAAGGGAAGGACAAAACAATGAGGCAAAAAGAGAAACCCACGCACATCCTTCGATGGTTTGCTCGGAGAGCAGCTATCGAAAGAAATAGAGAGGCCGAAACGAACACAATCATGGAAGTGGTTCGGTGGCTTTTGTCGGAGCTAAATTGACTGATTTAGACCCACTTGCACAGCACTACATCGAATCAAACGGATCAAGTGTTTTGACACTACGTTCCTTCAGTGGACAGCGAAGCCTAGTATCAAAGGGACACACATGGAAGAAGTATACGTTGACTGTATCTAGTAAGCTTGCAAATCTAATACAAAACCCAAATATCTTTAAAAATAATTCCCCAAACAGAAAGTTTTTGAGATTGTTGTTATTTGTTGTTATAAAACTTAAAATTATATACAGTTTTTTAATGATTATAATAGCGTGTAGGCTCATATCTAGATTTTGCCAAAATTGTTTCTAGTCGCTATGGAGCAGACGTTGGATACCATAAAAATAATAATGTGTGTTTTCGGAAACGATAAAGCGGTAATGCGATGAATACTTTAATTTAATCTCGTTCCATCTCGTTCGTGTTACTTCGAAATTCTTAAATTATTTAAGAGTTATTAGTACCTTATTAACTGAATGACCTTAAAATGATAACTGCCTAACTGATAATAAGAGTAGCCTATCTTATCTAGTCGTTTAAATTTTGAACAATTTCAGGGAAAAAAAAAGAAAGACAAAACAAATAGCAATCTAATATCACACAATAGTTGTATGATTGATTATATTGGTTTGCATGTACTCTGAAATCCCTGAGGTAATGTGCTCTATTGTATCTGTTTAGGCTTTAATATAGACGCGAAATATTTTATTTATTTTGCAGCGCCGCCTGAAGTGCACGACCATGTTACATCAACACTTCGCCTGCACGAAGGAAGCTCGCACATTGTTCAGTGTTCGTTTCGAGTTGCCGGAGCGGGTTGGCCTCATACTCAGGTAGTCTGGACTTACCTGCATGCTCCGACGGGTAGGACACCGCTTGATTTCGATCCCCGTGAAGGTGATCTTACCCTCGCTAATGTGACCCTCAACGATGCTGGCAGTTATGCCTGTTCCGTGACCTCAGATGGATTTCCTACTGTTCATTCAAAACCTATCGTTATCGAAATCATTGGTAAGGTATAACGCTGGCTGTCAGCCTGAGAAGGTCATATGTAATTTTTGACGAATAGGCGATGTTCTTGGATATGAATAAACGTATATATTTAATTATATGTTCAATGTAAGGAAAAGCTAGGCTTACAGCTTTGACGAGAGTAGGTTTGCGGTTAAGAAAAGTAGATTCGGCTGTTTTTTTTCGCTTCGACTTCAACAACAGAGCTACCTTCATCCTAGTTACAAGCCTGCCTGATAGGACGTCATCTGTAAAAAAAAAAATTAATTCGTAATTCACTGAGTCTGTCATACGCATTTTATATTATTAAATGCATTTTATATGATATTATTAAATATTCAAACGACACACGTTTGCAAAGCAAAATGCTCTAGCGGGTACGTATCGGAGTGCTGAAGATACCTCGTGACGCATCCAATATTTATCCGATATAATTAGTATTTATTTCGTTTAATACGAACTGAGTACTAAATGTATACAACTACTTGCAATCTTGTTTAAACAAAAGGATAGCCGAACCCTTAAAACTCGTTTATCGGTTGTGAATGCTATATCCGTGGAAGAGAAGTGTGACTATGCCCAAAGTAAAGCTGCCCTCTGTGGTCGTTTTAGAAACCGCCTCTGTCGATCTGTCCCTCTGTTCTGAGATTAAGATTAACCGATTAGTTGAAACTCCAAAACAGAAAAGATCAAGAATGCATAAGGCAGATAAGGACACGTACAGCTCAAACGGAAATCGGAAGGACACTCTGGGTGACGGCATCACCCAGCCATTTAATAAAAGGAAGTTCCGCTGCAAAGTAGACTGTAGGCCCACGAATGAGAAGGAGCATGAGATCATTAGCGAGACAAATGGACATAGCGCTTACAAGTCCCTTCTTTTTTAGCTTTCCTGCTCTCCTTTGCGAATCGAAGGAGTGCTTAGAAGGACAGAAGAGTCCGTCGTTTTCTTTCTCCTAGCTTAGTTTTTGGGCGCCCAGCTTCTTTTGTGCCTACCGAAAGAAAGAGAAAGAAAAAATGAGGGAACCGCTAGCTCGGCATAGCAGGAGCTGACATAACGTTGCCAAAAAAGTTCTAACTTCCCCTTCCCATCGTACGTATATTCATGGTGCTAGCGCATCGCGTCTTTACATTGCCGTTCGCTCTTACTAGCTCTCTTTAGCAGGGTAATCCACACTCTTCACCCACGATCCCGGAAAACAGAGAGAATTCGATTTGAAAAGTAGGAAACTGCCGACCAAAGAGGGCAGCTGAGGCGACCTGAAACTTCGCCAGTGGACGGAGAGAACATTAACTGTGCCGGGAAAATACGTACGATATAGCACATGTGGAGATTGCGCGGTTTGTGGGAAACGGCCTGATACTGCTTTTTCAAAGCGCATATTTTACTCTTCCATTGCTGCCTTTTCCGGCACCTAGCCTTTGCGTAAACGCAATGTGTCATAACAGAACCATCGTGGGGTTGTCTAGAGTCAAATACGCGTATCTGTATGTGTGATGCGTTCAAGTGTACATCGCTATACGATCTACTCATATAAATGCCTATAGGAAATTTTTTAGCAGCATAAGCAAGAACGAATAGCTTTTTTGTGTTCAGCATACTGAGTTAGGGTTATACAAAAGTTAACGAATAGCCAGTTCTACGAACGCAATTATACGTACACGAATATACATAACTTGTGTTTTGAATTTCTTCGGGGAACGTGAATTAAGAGAATTATCTACTCGTAGATTTGTCAAAAAGATGGAGTACTATATATATATGAAAGTGTGAAAACTCAGGGAGTTTGGCTCGACTAAACCTAATTTTCGTGTGAATTTAGCTTAACTTTTGACTGTATTTTATTAATGTTAATTGTATACAGTTAAAAACAGGGCAAGCAAAGAAATTCGCAAAAAATATTTTATCGATATCCTAAATTATGCTAAAAAAACACCGCTAACTCAGTAACCTTAAACGGCTTCATTATACAGACAACCAATAAGAACTTATTAAAGTTTGCCTTAAGAATGCCAAACGTCATTCAATTTTCCAAAGGACCACAATATTTTTTTAATATACATGGATCTTTCTTAAATTAAAATTTTTCAGTGCCTATAAAAAAATTTTAGTTAGCAACAAATTAAAAGAAAAATTTATTTACTAAAACTTTGTATAAGATATTCAACATAGTTAGACGAATTTTGCCTTCCCAAATCGCCTTACTTGCAGAAGAGACCACGCCATGTAGGCAATGTATTTGGTTGCCCGCTTATATAGAAGCCCGCTACCTTTGTACCTCCCTATACCTTCAACGTCAAATGACTAACAATCTAGCTGAATCTCTCGCGTATTTTTTGTGAATTTCAGAAAAGCTAAAATTTTTTCCAGTTCCGGTTAACAAAAACTTAGAATTTAATACAGTTAGTCGAATTCCCTGCCAAGCCCGAGGTGCGCCCTCACCCAAGGTCAAGTGGACAAAGATTCAGTATCAGACGCCAAGTCTTAGAGCTGAAATTAAAGCTGATGAGAGCGAGCGGAACACGGCCGCACGAGCTGTCGCTTCGCACGAACACAAAACCCTTCCTTTACCCACCAACCTTAGAGAGGTAAATTAATTTTTTGTTCAAATAATTTTTGCATACGCTTGATAAGTGCAGGTGTACGTTTAGGTAGGTACTGCCTCTACTGGGTCATGATTGGTAACTTCGTTACTGGTTAAAGACAATTTAACTATATTTATAGAGAAGGAAATTAATGCCTGATCTGTAGCGAGAAAAGACAAGAGACCTCATAGGAAAATACAAAATCAGCATTAGTATGCTTATATTTTTATGATGTAATTACCAAGTACGTATAACTGGCTTCATATGAAATAATCGCATATATATTTTTATTTACCTTAAATAACCTAGCTATTTTTTACAAGCGTCGATTATTCTTTTTCATCAGCCAGAATGATCTAATAGCGTTTTCTTTTAATGTTTCGGCGACAAGAGAAAATCACGCGGTCTGCTTAAAGCTGTATATTTCCCTTAGATAATACCAACGTAACTTTCACAGTGTTTTTTTATATATCCAGCACAAAGACATATAAAAGTCCAATCCAGTGGTCATTAAAATTAACTCTAAACGCTTTCTACACACATAGGAAAATGGCGTGTTGATTTTCGATCCCGTGACGTATGATGACGCCGGCTACTATCGTTGTACCGCCACTGCTGGACAAGACAGCATCAACGTAACGATCGAGGTCACCGTTGGAGGTAAGATGTGACCATATATAGATATATATATATACCATCAGCTTTGACTTATCCAGTTTCGAAGATAGTCAAAAATATCATGAGTACAGGCGATCCACATGATATCCCAATATCTGAGACGGTATAAAAACAATTTCCGTCATGTGGGTTACACGAGTCTTGTTGAATTTATAAAACTAGCTCGAGCGACTCATCGGATATCATAGAGATGGTACTAAGAAGCAGCAGGCAGTATGATATCTATCACAATTAACTTCGTATCTGGAGTGCTTAGATATATTGCCAGGCCCGTGGAAACCTAATTTCCTGCAGAGTGTATGGCGGAGCCCATGCATGGCAAAACGAGGTTGGGAGGTCAAAGTGACGACGTAGGTTTTTGGACTGCAGTGGTAACTTAGCTAGAACATATGCAAGGTGATTTCGATTACTATATGTGTATAGTCCAGTATTCTTTTGAGGAAGCAGCCTTCGACACGACTTATTTGATTTAAGGTTCTCGATGGTAAGATCTTTTCAAATTATGCATATCCAGTACATTACGACTAGAGCTACTTTGAGTTGTAACAAGCTGAGAGCGGTCGCGAGAAACCAACGATGATACGAATTGATCGCCCATGCAGTCAACATTGCCTTCCTCTATCTTTCGATGATGTCACTTCTGCCATTCTTGTAGAAAAGTACCTTCAAGTGCAAAAACCAGTTTACGATACGATAGGCTACAACGTGTCAAGAATAGCTGCTCTGCTTCCTTTTCTAAAATTCTTCGCCTCTGCTTTGGTCAGGTTTATAGACAGTCCCAAAAACCTGTAACTTCCGCATGGAGGCAAGCTAGGGTTTACTACATTTGGAACATCGTCAACCAATAAATCGCTATGTTATCTGCAAACAAGGTGAATTAAACCAATTTCGCTAATACTAATAAATAACTAATAAGACCCTTCAGCAAGGTGGAGAATAAAAGCAAGCTTAAGTTCCTTTTCCTGAGTCAGGCCAGTTGAGCGCGAGAAAGGCAGAAACTCAGCCATTCCGTCGTCGATAATTACTCTGTTCTCCTGTAGAATCGCAACGACAAGGTTAATCACATCCATATGGATACTCATCTCGCCCATCGTGAGCACAATTTAGCCCTGGGCATCGATTTGAGGACTCCTTTGAAGGTGACAAACACTGCATATAGCGCATTGACCATTAGACGCCTACACGTTGTTTCCATAAAGCGTTTTCTCCGGAACTCATGCTGCTGCGTTGGGATGGCATGTACGCACTCCAAGTAGCTATTCGATTTCCTAGTAAGTAGACCCATGACAAACACTTTCCTTCACTGCTCCCCGCCATGATGACAGCACGGTTGAGTCTCTGTATTCTTTATTGATCACTAATAAGATAGCATTTTCTCATTGGCCTGAAAACGTATGTAAACATATACTAAATAGTATTTTTTATCATGTTGCCGGAATGACGACGCATTTGGGATGCCCATTGCGGATCCCGTCAGGGGCGGCAGCTTCCTTACGTAGATTTCCAAGGCCTTGCATTAGTTTCTGAGGTGCGAAGTCTTGTTGAAGGACATTGTGTCGTATTGAGATTCTTTTTCCCACACTGCGGCGAAAAACGGCCTTGCGCAGAGTGTCGTATCCTTCGACGCAAGCATCTCCAAAAAATGATTTGTGAAAGACGAGACGCTAATCAAGCAAATCACGTGTTGTATTGGTCACAGCATTCCTGTATGGCTGACATTCCCAATCAGTAATCAAACGGGTCCTCAGCCGTTCAGAACATTGTGTCTTTGTGACGCTTTTCAACAGATTTTCCTAAACACAAATCGTAAAAGATAGAACTCGGGCTGTACCTCGACCATGAGCCTGGAGGCCATTTAGGCTCTCCAACCAAGGCTATAAGTATAGTTGAACTATGGCCAGTACTTCTGGAGTGCGTGTGTGAGCGCTCACGACTGCGTAGGATTGGTCGCTGTACCATAGACTCGAACTTGGCGTCTGGTAAACAATACAGGTGCAGCTTAAACAGTAAGGCCTATCGCCATTGGTGCGGGAGCACAAACGCTTGCGCCCGCTAGTGAGGAGTGATTTTCGTCATAATATATATCATGACAATATATTCAGTGGTCGACAATATATTGACAGTTTTCGCCAGGCAGTTTGTGGTTTAACATTATTGTTAACCTTTTCTGCTCACTGGTTTTTGGTCGATCTTCTTAATGAATTCTTGTTGTAATCCTATCAATTATTTACAGTAAAAGTCCAAATCAATCGTTTTGCCAAGCGACGGCAGACACTCATAATGCACGAAGCTTTTCCAATTCCACCAAACGTACAGCATCACTTACTTTGACGTCAGTCTAGGCTTTGCCACGGATTGTGGAACTTTTTCTCGCTTTGGCCATCATTCTCTTTACGCGATATTACCGCATGTTATTGACTTTTCATCATTCGTGATTAACTGTTTCATGGATAGTTTGATTTCGTTACGCTTCTGTGTAATTTCGTAGGTAGAAATACGATGACATGAGTTCTTTTACGTTAATTTATGTAGCCTGTAAATATCAAGCTTCTTTCTGTTGCCAGCTAGTTTACCACGGACAATCATAAGCGGTTTAAGTTGTTTAGTGATGAATGTTTAATTCGTTAGCGATGTCACGGTTAGGCATGGTTTACTCACGCAGACTTGCTTACCTTTCGCAATAAACTTATTAACATTATTATATTATTATATATTATATTAACACAATGACAATAAGGACCTTGTTCAGGCCATTTTTTCCGATAGCGAACGCTGGCCATACACAGCACAATTTTTTAGGTGTATAAACTGGTGCATTTTTAGGTGCACTACTTTTTTATTGTAATAAGATGTAAAACGTAATGAACTAAATCTTCAGATTTCTCTATCTTGAGTCTGAATAAAAGATTCAAATAATTACAGCAGATTTACTGGTATCAAATCTTAGCTTTTAATTGACACGAAAGCCCCGATGCGACTTTTGTTACCAGCGATGTGAATTTAAAGCTATCTGGTTAGAAAAATTCTCAATACTTACCATATATATATGTTTCTTTATAAAAGTGGATAAAAATTAACTGGCAGAAAAAAATTATAAACATAGGTTATTAATAAATGCATTTACTTTTAAACATATATATTTTTAGATGTTGCTAATTAGTTCAATCTATTTATTTCCCAAGTGGCTCCACGGTTCATCCTTCCACCTAATGATACAGACGCACTTGAGGGGCATCCCACGTGGTTAGATTGTGTGGTCGAAGGAGATCCACTCCCACAGGTGCGCTGGGATCGAAATTCAAATTTTAACATTCTAGCGCACGAACACCCCCGTATCGAGATGTTGGATAATGGTAAGTGATGCGGCATAAGTGTACATTTACAAATTGCAATTGTTTTTCTTCGGTTGGCTAATTATTTTGCACTTTTACATCATATCTATAGGTAAACAGGTTTTCAGGATAATGCCTCAGGTGTAGCACAAAGAACAGTAGGACTCTAGCCGAGGTGGGTCTCTCTGAACCTATTCGAAATGTCTTCAATGGACCTATGGCAAGCCGTGCTGACATATTAAATGAGGGTTGTTTTTAAGCTCTTAGTGAATTGGCCTTAAAATACCTGCAAATAAGATCCATTCTACCCACAGCAGGAATCAGTCAAATATTTATGATAGCAAATATATAAGTAAAAAGGAAACTCGGTTTTTCTCTCTTATATTTTTGTTGCTTTACTGTATCACGGGATTGCTAGAAGCGAAAAACTCCTGCTGTTATCTCAATACTGTGACGCATGTCTGTGCAGATGTCCACGATCGGCCGCTGATTCATATACAATTTCATTAATTTGAAAATCTTTTAAGATCTATCTTACGGCACTTTGATTTGGGGTTCAAAAACAGAAAAAAATAATTTTATTAAGTAAGATGGGACCCATAGACGCGCATTATTTTTTGAGTACCCTATACATGCCGAACCCTGCCTTACTAGAATATAATTAACCGTATTAGCTATTCAAGCGCGACAACTTTAGAGACTTCAAAAATCATTTAACGTTAAGAGCCTTTAATGTAATAGGCATGAGATAAGGAACTAGTACTCTATACTTATTAAGAAACTACCTCACACTAACGTTTTTACTACTTATTATATGTTCCGGAGTGAATAATATACTCAATTATGAATGGTAATTTCGCAAATGATCCGTAAGGACGGTTGTCTAGAGTATCCTCAGTTTGGTCTTGACCTTGACGTCGGTTCTGATATTCTTTTCTCAGCAACTTCTGCCTTTTACGTTCTTCCAGGAACTCTGTATATTCATGAAGTACACGTGGGGGATTCTGGCCGGTATGGTTGCACAGCTGGTAATCGAGGTGGTTTTAAGCGTACCGAGGCTAAACTAACGGTGAAATCGTCACGCGACTTCGTACCTCAGTACACCCTGTCTGGAGATTCAGGCGAGGAGACCATCTCTAGGACGATCTCCATAACGTTAGGGGCAGCAGGCCTCTATATGGCCCTCGTGCTTACCCTGATGCTGTACTGCCGCGTAAGCAGGGCCAGACGAAAGGCCGCTTTACTCGGCAGCAGATCCAAAGGTAAACTGAGCATCATTCTACAAACCATTTCCTCTTAATTTTCTGCGTCTTCTCGTTGACTAACTTGAGGAATTGCACAAGTTAGCTAAAGGATCTTCGTCTTTTACGTAAAATATAGGTGAATGCAATCTATAACTTTGCTTAATACAAATTCAATACCGGTATGTCATATCGGGACTGTAAGCTTTCGAGATTAAACCTCCCCATCAGCTATTGTTAGTTGTAAATAAGCTGTTGTAAGTTATTAACGGCAGCAATTGAATATCACTTGTTAATACTTCCGTAGGAGGTGGCTCTATCGAAGAGGACGGTTTGGATGGAGGGGTGACAGGAGGTTCAGGAGAGCTGCCAAGCAACAAGTTGCTTCCATCGGCAGGCTCTTCGGAGACTGAGTCAGTTACATCGAAGAATAGCAAGCTTTCAGTTGAGAGACTGCATTTTCCTCGAAAGGATCTTCAAACAGTGATGCTCTTAGGAAGGGGAGATTTTGGAGATGTATATCTTGCCAAACCTAATGGTATGTTTGACTGTGTAGTCCTACTTACTATCAAGGGACATAACACCCACCAACAAGAACGAATCCTCAACGAGTTATCGTAATTAAAACAAGAGACGTATTTTTCGAAGTTTATGTCGTTCACAAGTTGCTTCACTAATATTTCGTTTAGGTAATTAACGTCTATTTTGTGGCGCCGTCCCTGTCACTGCAGGTATAGCTGAAGACATGGTAATGGTTAAATCTCTCCATTCGTCGGAGGAAGCGTCCCAGAGCGAGTTCCGACGGCAGACAGAAATGTATTCTAAACTGAATCATCAAGGAATCTGTCGCGTTGTGGGAATGTGTGCTGAGACAGAACCCCTATTGGTCATGTATGAACATACCGACTGGGGTGATTTAAAGCAGTTTCTCTTAGCCACTCGAAAAGATACGCCAGCACCACAGGGTAATCGTCCACCAGCTCTCACGACAGCTCAGTGCATGGGAATCTGTCATCAAGTGGCGTTAGCCATGGATTATCTGTCCAACCATCGATTTGTGCATAAAGATCTAGCGACAAGAAATTGTTTGGTTACAAGTAAATTGGACATCAAAATATCTAGTCCCAGCTTAAGTAAAGGTATGGTACTATTTTAAGCATACGGCAAATTTGACATTTACTCTAAATGTTGGACTGTCCTATTTTTATTTCTTTGATTTAAGCAACTGGATACCAGTTGTGACTTTCGAGATTAGTAAATAGTTCGTGACTATATCATGTCTTTGTTCTAAAATTATGCCAATGAAAAAATGTATTCATTTTGTGACTGATTGCGCGTCCAGCCTTTGCTATATTATTCAGTGACCACATCATAGTATTTTTGGCACCGTATTTCAGTTACTGCATCGTGTGTCGTGATAAACCATTAGCCTGTCTCGCTGCGATAGATATTTATTTCATTATTAAAGCTCAAAGTGTAGAAGCCTTTCACTGAAATGTATCTTGTAGGAAGTCAGTCAAATAAAAATATCACCCAATTTAACTCTAGCAAACCGTAAAAAACAGCCGACGTATTTTCAGCAAACACTGGCGTTATTGCTTTCTGTCGTGCAGCCCGGGCATTAATAATAAATGGTACCATTATGCCCGTTTGTATTTCCTTGTTGCCGTTACAGACACGTATTCCTCGGAGTACTTCCATTACCGTGATCAACTGGTTCCCCTGAAGTGGGCTCCAGCCGAAGCGGTGATCGAGGATCAGTGGAGCTCGAAGAGTGACGTATACGCGTACGCCGTACTTTGCTGGGAAATTTTCAGCCAGGCGCAACTACCCCATGAAGACATCTCCAACCCAGACTTTCTCTATCGGCTGGAAGTACATGACATCAAATGGGAACCGCCAACGAGAAGTCCGTCCGCAATGAAAGACTTACTGCGGGCATGTTGGCGAATTTCCGCCAAGGACAGACCAACCTTCAGTGAAGTCAGTTCTCAGGTCGGCCAGATATTTGTCGATACGAATGTCTAGAACTCGATCAAGGCAAAGGCCAGCCACATCAGAAAGCATCGCCATCGAAGCAACAAGAAACGCAAACACTCCAAAGATCGACACGTCGGAAGGGGGCACAAGGACCTTGATGGCGGGGAAGATAGCCACGGAAACAGTCGCCATGGTTCCGGGGGTGGGGGAACGACGAGTGGCGGTCACAAGGAACGCAAAGAAGGAAAGGATCGCGACCGCCGATCCAAGTTTAACTTCAAGGGTCGCTGTCGGTTCAAATCGTTATCGCATTATCACCACGACGCGTCTATATACAGCTCGCCATTCAGCGCACAACCCTCGCCGCTGCATTTTCACGTACGCATGAGCAACCATTCGTCACCCTCGCATTCGTATTTAACATCAACAACGCTGCTCGCGAGCCACGGCCTACTGGACTCCGAGCCCAAATTGACACCATACGTATGAGCTACGGGCGACGGCGTGAGTTTGGATGAAAACAACAATAGCAAAAACAACGCGTGTTTTTCAAAAGTCGATTGGTCGCGAGGCAGCTGATATCTTTATTTGTCTTTTGCATTTACATGTTACCCTGAAGAAGATTATCCAATAGAAAAGAAAAGAACTTGAGTATTCGTATGAAACTCGAAAAAAGGGTTATGAGTATACGTGGGTCAAAAAAATAGACAAAGTGTGGAGGTAACAGACAAAAAACAACGTATCCTTTCACTGGGTCAAAGGATTATTCAATGCTAATATAAGTAAATACGCATTTACATACATATATCGCCTCATCATAAGAAGAGTTAACACTTACATTAAAAAACCGAAATTACAGAAGAACACGATGACGAATTTCAGCTTACAAAAATGGGTAAATACGTAATGTACACCCGTGCGTAGAAATAAGCTGTTGTTATGTTGAACTATCAGATCGAGACAGAACGGGCCAGTTAGTCCCCATCTTAGTGAACGCGACTTGTCACCAAAAGAACCAGGGAGAACTCACAAACAACTACTAAACCCTTGAAAATCCTATTTAGCATAGTTGCTTAAGTGTCCAGTAGTATTCTCTATTAACATTCGCCCTGCCTTGTCCTTGCATCCCAACTGCTTCTTACACAGTGGACCCACTCTGCAATCGCCTGCGCGTATTCAATGCCCATTACGAAACCCACCGTGTATTCCATACTGCCAGAGCAAGTGATGCCCTTACTCGGCTTTACGGCATATCGCTTACTTGCCAAGAATATTAGATAGGTGCTACTAAAGACCTGGCTAGTGCGGGTCCGTTTCAGTGCTCTCCAAATATTCCGCTAGAGGCATGCATGGCTCAGAAGCATTCTTTTTTTGCACCGCTATCGTTCAGTGTTTTATTTTGTAATCAATACTGCCTGCCAAACTCCATCGCAATGCGATATCACGCTGGTTCTTCACTATCTCATACCATCATATCTGTACATTGAGTCTATAAATCGAAATCACCCGACGATCCAACCTATTCCATCAGCTGATCAAAGCCACTAAGCCTTCCACTGACCTCAACTAGTCAGCTAGTGGACAAACAATCTACTTCACAACTCTCAGGGTTACTTCCGATTTTATCACGAGTTGCAATATGTCAAACACCATGTACTGTTCAGATATTTCTATTGAACAATATGGCCACATCAATCCAATTTTACCTGATAAAATGAGCCCATTTTTGTGCCAAATCTCGTGGCTCTCCTATGTACCAAGCGCTATAAGTTTGGCCTTTGTGCCGTCCCAGTTTCCCCAGCCCGCTGCTGCTGCTGCTAGCATGTATGACGTTATTGACTGAAAGCACAAAACAAGTGAGTTTATTTACGAGAAACACGATGTCGTGATGGTTTACGACTTATGATTAAGGAAAACGTCGAAATCTTGAGACATAGACGAGACAGGTTGAATAGAACGGCGTTAGCGGCCGTTACATATATCGCAACTAGAAGAGCAACGCCAGTAGCAACGTTTACGAGTTCTTTATATTTTTGTAATTTACTACGATCAAAGATACAAAGATAAACATTCAAACAAACAAACAAACAAACAAGCGAATAAGCAAACATACACGCTTCGTCAGAGATATAGGTACGAAAACACAAGACAATACACAAGTACGCAATACAAAACAACAACAGTACGTGGCTAAAATTAATAAGGAAAGAAATAAAAGCAAGATAAACAGACTATGAACACGATAACAATTATATACATTGTAGGAATATTTATACATGCAGGAACACACGCATATATGCTATAGATACAAGCATTATGAGTGAAATAGTAAACAAGATACATGCTGTATATTGTACGATAGCCCATTGTCGATTATTGCCTAGAAACCTGCACAGCTATAACTACTAGTATAGACGAAGAAAAGCAATGAACCAACTGTGAGATCAAGATCGATTAATAACATCTACGCAGGTATTACAGAACAAACAAAGTCAAAACAGATTTAATATAAGTTGCATTCCGTGTGCCACGCGGCTGGGCCATCAAGCCACTGAATTTGATGAGGCCGCGCAGAGTTCGTGTAGGATAAATCGATTTAAACGAAATCCAATTCACAACATTAATTTTTTTTCGTGTGTTAATAGGATATAGTGCTGTACGTGGAAAAGGTGCAAATGGTTCTTTCTTACTTAGGCGACATTATAAATGCGGAGACATGAAATTTTTCCCTATCGCGTATCCAGCCTAAGTAAGCTTGCAAAGCCTATAATGACTGGCGCACCTTGATAAGGCCCTACTATCGATGTGCCTAATAGCAAACTTGTTTTAGCAATGTCTATTTTCGACATGTGCGTATGAGTAGCTAGAGGAGAACATGCAATAAAAAAAAAATAACGAACCAGAAAAGAAACAAATTAGATAGACTAATAAAAAAATCCAAATGAATTATGTACCGGTGCACACTACTCCCTGATGTAGTCGCACATATGCCAAAGCTAAACTCTGCACATCGGCCATCAACAGATGTATGGCGAGCGGTCCAGCCCACGACAAGAGCCGCTGGATTAATCTCAACAAAACGGAAAACCTGCCCAGACGTCGGCGGATTCGTTCAGAGATCCAACCACACCGTAGCTTCCCTTCAAACTCTGCCTGAGGTATTTATCTCCCCTCCCCTCCCCTCCCCTCCCGTTACCCCACTATAGGTCAACCCTGTCCAATCATGTGTTGTATATACAATGGATATACTGATGCTATAAATGATAATATGATACCACACTTTCAATTTCGATTCGACCAATCAATGTTCAACGATCAAATTGACTGGTAAATAATAACACACTCGATAAATGAAGGAATGGAAAAATACTTGTGAGAACTGTAAGTTATACAGACGAACAGTGGTAAAAGAATAAAGGGAGATACGAAGAGAAATCAACAAGTAAATAACGACAAGAAAACATTAATAAACAGGTGATGGTAAGCAATTTTCATGGAAAAGTATACCTAATTGTTTTCTTTATTAAGGAAGTACAGAAAGCAGAATAACATCCCCTCAACGATTCGCGGCACAATTCGAATTTATCATGCTACTTTCTAAGAAACAGTAAATTTGAGTTAACTGAATAGACAACCATAATCTTAGCATTTATTTTTTCGCGAAATCATTATATTGTTTCTTGTGGTTTCCAAGTCGCGTTAGAAAAGATAATGCAAAAGACCGAAATGAGGTCAACATATAGTTTTTCTATAAACTGCAGTAATATAATAGGATATTCATTTGATTCGTCGAGAAACTACACAGTGGGAGTCATCCACAACAAAGTTAATATTTTTCACGTGTTTCGCACAACGCGTCGCGCAGCATAACTCGGGGCGGTGATTACCCCCCCCCCCCCCGTCATTGTGTCAGGAAAATATAGGCACTAATAAACATCAGACAACCGTTTGGAGCTGTATGAAGGTCTCGCTTAGGCAAAAGTACAACTCCACAAGAAAAGTTGTACAATCAGGTATATGAACCGACTATTTTTTGTTCAACTTACAGTCGAAAGAGCAATACGCAAAAAGCGGGCAAACCCCTATGGGAATTTTAAAATCTATCGTGAGAAATAGCGTCTAACTCCGGAAGAACAACTTTTGAAGAGTGTTAGTGTTGTGTTAAGCACGATCTATATTAACAAAAAAATACAAATCAGCCGTAAACTAAATTGTCTTTATTTTCCTTCTAAATCACTATTCAGTAAGCTATGTGATATGACTAATGTTTTACAGGGCCATATGGATGGAGATCACAGCCTAACGCCATATTGCTGTTGGCTTGCTAATATGACTTAACTAGTTTACTTCTTAACTATTTGTTTAAAAAGCGCGCTTGTACAGTCTTAAAGCACAGAACGCATAAAAAAAAAAAGCCTAAAATGGCGTCTTCTGTTACAAACCTAAGTCATATTTCCAAGTGATTTTCTTCAATTCACGAAGTAGACCTATATGTTCTTATTTTTGAATAGTAATAACTTCGGTTATGTCGAATATAAATTTAGCGTTGATACTCAAATAATTATGCATATGCAACGAGAGCTAACGGTGTTAGCACGAAAACATCTAGTTTTTTTCTTCTAAATTATATTTTCATTATGAGTAAGTTAAATAGAATGGAACTTACACTGAATGTTGCCGATGATTTCGTTTACATCATGTGACATATATTTATACCACACTTAAACGTATCAAACATTCTACTACTTCCTTTTTACCTTAAATGAAATGCCATTGCTGTCAATCCGTGACTATTCGAAATTGAGATAACGTGTTAGTTTCTCAAATCTGTGTCTTTGTCCTACATACCAAACCTTTGTTTCAGATCTCTCGGTTATTTTTCTGCTAGAACTAAATTTTTTCAGCATGTATACTCTTATAAAGGTTTAATTGAAACTTATTTGTAGTGGATAAGAAGGTGAAACTCTGCTCGGGCTGATCAAATTTAACTGCTAAACGGCCAGTAGTAAAAGATTTATAAATCCCTCACCACACTGATTGTATGCCAATAAATGGATCTCAATAAAGTATTGCTATTCTTTAATTAATTTTTTGCGCTTCATTTTGAAGCACAATTGAAAAAAGGTGAAAACAATTAATGAATAAGCTCTACCGGTAGACTATCTCCCCGAAGAGGCAGTAGGCGCGTACTCCTTGATGAAATTTAACCGGTCCATTTTTAAACACATTTCCATTTAGCACTAAATTAATAGCGAATGGCAAAGCAGACTACGTTTACAAAATAAAATTATTCTTAATAACGCATACCGATAAAAATGACAAAAAACAAGAACAAATACGAAGACGCATTTGTTAAATTCGGTAATAGTTGACTATTGTACGGCTTTAATTGACAATACTCAACATAGACAGACAGTCGCGCTCTAATATAGAGGCGTATACTTACACACCTACAAGCTGGTGTTTTTGTCACACGTATTTTTCAAACGATTCAATTCAACTAGCAGTTTATCTATGTGTGGCTATATGTGGTCGATAATTGCCTTCTCCATTGATGGCACACATTCTCACTTCTTGATTTTTTTTTTTCGCAAGCGCGGTCTTTTTAGATAGAGTAAGATGCACGCATTATACATACACACAAATGTCAAGCAAACATTTTTATTTAAGCGGATGTAGATTTGCCTACACGTTGGTGTGCAGATCTCTCATTTTAGACGACGTCGTTACAAAACGGATTCACAGAGGAAGCGCATTCGGTTCAGTACCATCGAGTCGAGAAATAGACAGTTAAGGTCGAAACTGCACGTCCGCCAGGCCGAAAGCAGAAATTCAGTGGCGAAGTGCGGCCACAAAGCCGTGCCATCTTTGACCGAACAAACGGCGTTTTGCAAAGCAGTCGCTACAACGCTTTCAGCTCCTGATGGATAAACTAGGTACCCCTCGTGGTGTTTGCGAAGAGTGGCCTCGAGGCCGGCCAATGGGATCTCCTTTAGATCGACGACAATTCTTCGCTCAAAAACAGGACTCAGGTGCCTAGGGGGCATATATGTCTGATAATATATGACTTTGCCCTTGATCCCTGAATACATTTGCGTTGGCACCACGGAGGCTTGATGTAAGAACCCAAAAAATATTGATAGAAAGAAGTTGAACGAGTACCAAAAGAATCTTGACCTTGATGAGCGAAACACCTTCTGCGCGTGCAGAAGCGCAAATGGGAGCACAAGCGGCAGGAGAAATCGGGGCTCCTGATGTGGAAATAGTGACAACAATGTGGTCGGAACTATCATACAGTTGAGAAGAAACCTTGAGTCGGCATCAAAAGCTACTGGTCTGCGAATCAGCCTATAGAAATCGCAGTAAAAGAACAAGGAGTGAGCGCCGAAGATAATTGGGATATTCACCAGCAAATGGAGCCACCGCGGATGAAGTCCGTGATTGGTTAGGTTGCTAGGTTTGCTATTGTACAATAGGAAATTGAACGGAGTCACTACCACGCTACCGAGCGGATCGGCTAAACATTCTGCTAAACCTCTATAATAGACTGAATCCAAGATAACGAATACAGTGGCTGCTGGCAAAGCCAATATTGCAAGACGTACACAACTTCCGATAAAGTTCGCGAACGTTGTCTTCCAGAACCGATGAACGATAGGCATGATAGCAAAGCAGATAAACGTCGGCCTGTTGAAGACCCCCGCCGAGATTATACTGGCATAGAGAAATAGGCAGGAGTCCGGCGATTGCTTGACAAATTTGCAGACTTCCATTTCAGCCATTTCTGTCTGCTCAGCCCCGCCCTTGGTATTCATTAACACATTCTTAACTTTAGTGCCTTTTTTGGCCTCCTTTTTCCCAGTGTCCTTCTTTTCACCTTTGCCATTGGCTTCCGTTGTACAGGCGTTATCCCGAGCTGCTGTGGAAACCTTTACGCAAACAGTTTTGACAGTTGAGACAGACATTAATAGCAACAAACTAAAGAGAATTGTCTCAGTTAGGTTGCTAAACGTTCGGGTAAAATAAGTGAAAGCCAGATATGACGAGGCTGTCACCTTAACAGCGGCAAGCCCCTTTATTCGAAAGGCTACTGCGTCGACTAGAAAGGACAAAGTGCAAGCGACCAAGCGAGGCAGAACCAGCCTCAAGTAGGGCGTATGTTCAACGATTCGCAACAGCTGGTAAGGTACGAATGCAAAGAGGTGAACGAAGGCCGCACTTCGGATGGGTCTTGAAGATGTAAATTCCCATGGTCGGTATGCGTCCGTGCCAAGAATATCGCCAGAACTGATTTCCGTGGACTGGAAGAATTCATCGGCATGTATGTAGCCATATTGTGGGACCAACACCCTGAAATCAGTTATAAACAAGCAGAAGACACAAATAAAACACACGTTGATCAACATAGATACTTGGGTTTAATCTGAAATGATTTGTGGTGGAAATACAAAGTGCGTTCAGCACATATCATTGCGATAAACAATCAAAATAGACGCCTGAAGTCTCTATTGAACAAAGGTTGAAATCTGAGGTGTCATTCTGCTGGCAGTGACTAACAAAAGGAGGACTTTAGGCGAAATACCATGTTGTATTGTAAAAGCGATATACCCACGACGACCTTTGTCTATTGCGGAGGATGTATCTCATCAGTGTTACATTGAACACTTTGACATCTTCTGCAAAGTTCCCTAACCGTTCATGAAATTAGTTAGAAAATATCTCCCTACGTTTCAGGCCGCCCGTCTACATAAGTAATGACGCTTCAAGATAACTGCACGAAATTAAACAAACGTTTAAGTAAAAAAAGTAGTAAAAGGGACGAAAAATGAGAAAAGCAAACTTATACGACCGTCTATTGGCGTGTCGCACATTGCTATGTTGCCTTCAACGAACTCCATAGACTGCTGATATTAGCAAATCTGGAGAAGACTCCGATAAAAGAAGTGTGCCTATTAACGGGGCCAGCAGAGATAATTACGAAAGAATTACTTACGATGCGACTCGAAGGGCCAACAGAACTTTTGTGGTTCGGTCCAATCTGCGACCCATTCTGAAGGGTCTGATCCTTGTTCTGCCGTTTACGGGCTATCTACTACCTATCGGAAGTCGAAAAAATCAATCATTTGTAAGGATTTTATGCAAATATCTTTCAAATGGCGTAGCTCGAGCTGGGTCACAATACCTATAAAACATGTATAACAACAAAATGGAAACAATACGTGGAGATATGCGTGAAACTAAATTTCTTCTTTGAGATCATTTAAGTATGGTCTCTTACCCAAGTGTTTCGGTCTGATTAATTAGTTGATTTGTAAATCAACGATTTCTAACAACTCTGATCTGAAACTGTTATGCGGTAGTCAGTAGAAATGTATTAGATACTTTACAGTGCAGGAGAAGCCGATTTCGAAAAGAATAATTCACTAAGCGACGCAATATCTTTTTGAAATTGTAATGTATTTTTTAACCGTTTATTTAATAAATTATGTATTTGACAAAACAGGACATAAAAATACACATGCGTGTGTTTCATTCTCTGGAATCTGATCAGTCGTAAACTTTTCCAAACACGGAGACTGCATTAAGGAAAAGTTCGATAACTTTTTTAATCACCATATACAATCTTGATAATAATACAGTATTCATGTGTTTCTCTGCTAAACTCAGGGATATGTTATATTAGGCGTGGACACATTTCGCTCTACACCAAAGCTAGCCATCTGGAATCAGAAAGGAAATACCATTCTATAACAGACGAAAGTTGAGACTCTCTATTTTTTAAGTGCATAGGCGTCATCTATGTCCACCACGTCCCTATAAAGTTTCGAAATTAAAACGACTTTAGCTAATAATAAATGAATAAGTAAATAATCAAAATTTCTAGTTACTCTGCTCTCCCGACCAATTTGTGTACTAAAATAGTTACATTCATCACATTAAGAGGCCACTTCGCGACCATCAAAAGCTCGATTGCGCTCATCAACGAAGCTCGAGAATGATTATACCATGGGTTTTACAAAGCTTCATCAGTTGATAGCGGTTCAACTCTGTGGTAGAAAAACATCTGATCGAAAATTCGTGCACATGTCTCCTATCTACTTGCCAACGGTGACCTCACACAAACGGCCATGGTTGGAATACGCCATATTAGCGGCGGAGCTACGATCTTTGCGGAGAATCTCTCCCCTAATGACAGCAGTCGCGAACGGTTGCTAGCGTCAACGTCAACTGCCGCCGTCGCAATCGGTGCGCATGGTGCCATTACTATGTTCTGGTTCGAACGCCCGATCACAACCTATCTCGTCTTCATATCTTCACATTAATATCACCGCCTTCATCAGCCAGTGCGGCCAATGCGAGACGGGTTTCAGGAGAGCCATAGCGTCACTAAAAAGGTCCCTTTTGCGCGCCAAAGCACAAGTCGGACGACGGCGTTCAGGCGTGTCAATAAAAAAACAACACCAAAGTATGTACGAACATCAACACCAATACAGAAACGGCCAGACGAATGCAACGTTTACTGTGCACAGCTTACCCGCTCCTTTGTGAACTGTGCATTTATTCAACGCAAGTAAGCTAGGAACCAAGAGTGAACCTTGACGAGGTAACAGGCACAAAATGTACAATGGCTTAAACCAGCAAGAAACAGTGGCGTGGTGTAGAATCCAACAACCATCGGAGTCAGGCAACTCAATATTTGTAAACGAGTTCGTTATATTAGATTAGTTAAATGAAAATTACTGTAGTAATCAGGATACAAAAGGGACACCGTTAATGGTGAAAAGAAAATACCACCACATTTGCTTGACGGATTAGCTGTCAATGATCTAGGCAATCCCAAAAGCAAAGTTCGCGAATCGACCAGTATCTATTCCTTCTGTTTTGTCTCAAAATAGACTTGTCTAATTTTATACTTGTGTTAGATACGGTAGAAGACACACTTACGACTACGAACGAGTCACAAAGTCCCAGGGACAGCCTATAAAGCCTAGCGATTTCCTGCACACCCGCGCTGCTCCCATCATAAATATGGATGGGTGCTTAATTCATGGACAAATAGACAGTACAAGAAACAGCAGCAGGCGGCAAAGTAGACCACAAATCCAGGTCTGCATATTGTTTATTGCAAAGTGCCAGCTACTAAGTGCCTACCGTAAGTGCCTTAATCGCTAGCACTGTACGTGAGCCTTGCCCGTTCACGCAGACACGGACTGATGCAGACTAAGTAGAGAATGTTGTTTTTGTGGTGCCGATAGTGGTCTGAGTCAAGTCGAAATCGAACGAACGGATCATCGACTCTCGATTATCTGGCCCAGTGCAGTCGAGGTTACTAGGCTATCAATCACAGCAGACCCAAGGCTCACCTTATCGTACGCTGGTCGCTCGAGAAATAAGCGAGAATTTTCACCTTTTTGGCGCCCCAGCGATCAGCTGGTGTTCTTAAGTTCTGACAGTTGACAAACATCCGCGGCAGCAGCAGCAACAGAGACTGCAACGGCACTAGAAGTCAATGGCGGCATCAGCCACAACCGTCTCACCATCGCAGTCATCGATGCTCTTGTAACCATCTGAGCTAAACAAACGCAAAGGCTGAGGGCGAGGCAGGTAATGAATAGCGCATGCGCAAAGGCGCCATAACAGAGAAGGGCACTTTGGTGCTTACTGCGACAATTCACCACCAGAACTACTAATCTTCATAAGCTGGTTTTAAGCCAGCATCTAACCGTGGGGTCGTTAAGTTGTTGTATAACTATCAACTTCTAATAGCAGTACATGAGGATTAGAGTACCATTGTAATTGGCATTGCTATGTACGGAGGAAAGGCGTCGCGATAGACGTGCCATAAGAAAATCGCTATGATATAATGTATTTGTTAGTACATTATTAGAACGCCATCCACGGGCTTTGCCCTGCTCCTATTTTGCAATTAAACGTATCTTGTTCTATTTGTATTTTCAAACATGAGAAATGAGACAGAAGCTGTTGTCGTCGGCTTACGTAAAATCACTTCAAGTTATAAGAAGAAGCAAACTTCTCGTCGCAAATTATATTTCGCTGAGCGACCAAGGAAAGAGATCAGCAACCCTGATGCCCGAAGAAAACTAACTTAGGAAGATTCAAGAGGAAGTCAACTAAACTACAAATTTTCAACTCATATAGTTCACTTTTACTATAAAGTACTATCAGTTATAAAATTATTCCACTTTTTTAGTGTTTAAATTGTTCAGGGTCTCCAGCGATTACCGGCATCGCCCTATTACATTCAGAGTTGTATGTAAAAATCTGGAGGCAACGGAGCTGATCGGGAATCCAGATCGATCTCTTGGGTATATGAGTGGGTTCCCTATGAGTCGACTATAGGATGCAAGAAACAAACAAGATTCTTCTGTCGGTTATCATAGCCAGACCGCAAGGAGCCTAGACAACAAGTAGGAAACGCTACAACGTCAAAAACAACGCACACAAGAAATGCGCATGAGAACATTTAAGGAGCTCTTTGGCCTACTCTTCAAATTTATTTAGACATAAAACAAATAAAATAATAAAACATCTTTTTGGGAGGGCCTGAAGCCATCAAAATCGAATGCAGTACGCGTATGTTCAATCTGCACGTATCATCGACACAATAGGGCATAGCCTGCCGAGTGGTATTAAAATAAAATATAGTGAAAAATAAGAGCCTATCTTCATCTATTTTGGCCTTTGTTGCCGAAGTAGTTGGTTCCACTATTAAAAATGCGTCTCTATGAGCTCGAAAGTTTAATAACGCTGTTACTATAGTTAATTATCCTATCCATTGTATTCTACATGTGTAGCTATTGTTGATGATGAGCGATCCTTATCTTACTGCGGACGTGGGGCTCACATTACAAATTTTGTAACATTCAAGAGAGATTCAAGAAACTAAAAACAGTAACGTTATTGCAGCTGATAGTAGAAATGAGAGTCAATGAACTCATTGCAACAAGCCTACTTTCAAAGTTGCTCACAGCCTGATAGACCTTAATAGATACACGTTAAAACGAATGCTTCATTCATTTCATCTTTCTAGATCTGAACAACGACGTTATACGATAAATAATCGAAGACTGCATGCAATCTGATATAAAAAGGTGACATGTACGCATAAAGGAAAATAAAGTCTAGAGACATTAGATACCTAGAAGCCTTTAGAATACTAAACCTATTTCTAAATTCCCAATCACCTAGACAAAACGACATAGTCATATTGACCCTTTATCAATTAGTAAGGTTCTCTCCCAGAGTGCCATTCAATCATATGTAACCATCGTTGTAATAATCATCGGCCTTAGCGCGGCATATTTTTCGCCGTAGCAACTCGTCGTAGAACGCAACTAAATTTTGTCTCACAAAGTCACTAACCTTTTCACGAAAATTTTCAATGAGTAACAACACAGTGGAAAAAGACGACTATTGATAATTTTATGATTTTAGTTTTTGCTATTATAGGCTAAACTAATATACATTTGTGGTAAGCCCCATTGGAGGAATAAACCCCACATATAGTCGTTGTGCTAGGCCAAATTCTGCATCACGGTTCAGACAGTACGTTTCAATGAGCTAATTAAAAACACACGGACATAAAGTCTAAGTGATAATTTAGCGTATGAGACCATTTAAAGTATAACAACGGTTCATTAATCATTTAAACCTGTACTGCTTTATGAATACATTGTACGAATGTCAAAATTGATATCCTGATCTAGCTCACCTTACACTAATTCGAATGAGACCTCGCAGACATTAAGTGGCTTAAAGGAAGTCGTTCTACGTTCCTTAAATGATTAAATATTAGCATTCCATATAACTGTGTAGACACGTGTTTTCGAGTCTCATACTCGACAGGTCATCGTATAGACTTGTAGTTAAAGCTCTCTGGATGAAAGATTCTTAGAATTTCCGATTGCAAAGCCCCCTTTATTGTACAGCGTAATATGCTGCAGCCAATAATAATTACTATAGATGTGGATGATGAAATGTTATGATAATATTAAAAGTCATCAAAATATTTGGGTTCATACAATAAAAGGTCAGTCACAATTTCCACATAATGTGTATTCCATTTTGCAGTACACAAGCAGAGATTAGCTTCTAGCTAATAAATACGAATATGAGCATCCTAACATTTGGTAAACAATATATCGTATAGTTTTATTACCGTGTCGACAATCATAGCGACGACTAACTTATACTTACAAAGGCTTACTCAGTAGTTGTATCACATATCATAGGATAGGGAAAAAAATATCTACAATAAAGTACCAGTTCATCTGAAATCTCGCTGTTTAGAGGAAGAGGCACGAGAACCGCCCGAATGCCAGTAGACGAAACAGAAAGAACTCACAATCATCATTTCATTAACGTTTATCTTAAGCCCAGGATGTGAACGTCGTCTGCTGCTGTGTTCAACTTATGTTAGGCAACAACATCAGGTTCTTTCGAACGTTTCAATTGGTAGGACCGTACACGTACAGCCCAACAGTTATGCATAGTGCCCAGCGATACATCCATAACAATCTGTCATGTTTAGCAATATGTATAAACAAATATGTCCCTTTAATGTCTGCACTGTTTTTATTTCGACCAGTTTGTTTGCGATAGTAGGTATAACAATGACAGAAAGAGAACAATGAAACCTCTAAAACGATTTCTCCAACGTGATTAATCAAAAAATTACCACCTGCATAAATTTTCATATTTTTAGCATGCGTATGAAACGCTGTTCCTGTCCCTTGAGTCAGCCTGTTCGCGGTACATCTGCCGTACACTAGGTGGCGCTGTTCATCTAAACGAGAGAAACGTTCATGTACAACTTGATCGTTGCTGTTGTCCGTTGCCTTCTTGTCACGCCACATAAAGCTGCTCACTACCGCTGCTTGAAGCGTATGACCACCTAGCTGCGTGAGACTCATAGTCAGTTCTATAATCGTTGACCATTTTGCCATCGGGGTCGTTCATCCTGGCAGTTTGTGTTTTGTCGATTGTGTCAGTGCCAGTGCGTATGTGTGCCTCTTGTTGTTTAATTTGTGTCTATGCTAGAACGTCTGTGGACCGTTTAAATTAATATTTCCACGTCGCGGCTTTATTGGCGCCGCTGGTGCAGATTAGAAGTTGGAGACACCCTCAAAGAAATGTCGGTAGCGCGATCTATATTTTGTGTGGTATGTCTCGCACTATGCATCCTGACTTTGCTTAGTCTAGCGGCTGTGTTGAGTTATCCAGATTTCGAGCGGGCTGGCCGTCCCGTTTACAAAAACCGTTGTGACCAGGCATGGGATTTAGCCATCGACGTCGTACTGGTCATGGGCGCATTCTTCCTACACTATTGGCTAAATTGCATGGATATGTTTGCCGAATTCAGCACGAGTAGCCAGCGATGCATCTATTCGGTCGTGACAGCCCTCATAACTCAAGGTGGATTATTCTACTGGCGAAGAACGTCCGAATTTAATATATGGTCATTTACTGAACTTTGGGAACCCGCTAGATGCCTTATACTCCTACTTCATTGTATATGCTACCTTCAGCTAATTGCCAATTCGGTGTTTGACGATGCTATTGAAGCGTTCGGTTTTCTCAATTGGTCTTCGAATACAAGCGAAGCTTCTGATTTTGAGATATCGTCTTCGTATTTCAACAAATCCCAAGAACTTGCGCGGCTCGAGGGACGGTTACCTTCAAGCGGTGGGCTGATGTCACTCTTAGTGCTCTTTTTGTTGTACCCCACAATGCCCTTAGAGCGAGCACTTGCCGCCCTAGCTATTATCTCATATCATTTCTGCACATCGACCCTTGACGAACAAGACTATTTCTATGTTAGGCGAAACTTTAACAATAAATGGTGCGAGCTGTTGTACTCTGATGAAACGTGTTCAGCCAGTGAAAATTATACGAGCCGGTATCTCGAGACCGAAAGAGGAGCAGGTTCCTCGACCGTCTCTTCCAGCGCCCTTTATCCGAGAACGCAAATAAAATCTTCTACCGCTACTTGGGCAACCCCTATGTCCCGCTCGTCTTCGCAAGAAAGCTTCTGCTGTGAAGAGCGAACAACCAGTGTGCGCAACCGTAATGTCACTCAAGCCGAGGTCCGACGAATGGACGACTCAGCCCAACTGGGTCCCACCCGAAAATCAACGAGAAGTAGCAGGAAACTTTGAGCCATCATAAGGCTCACATTCCTTAAGCCATAATTATTACTATACCACTTGTGTAAGTATGTCTGCATAGGTGACGTACTGCTTAGAGGAGCTCTATTGGCTTAAGGTTTGGTTATACGAGATGCGAAATGAACTTTGTGACGCAGCAAGACTGCTTTGGGGATTTTTTTAAGACGTAAACTCAGCCGGCCCATCTGCAGTCACCAACATAATAGACATTTTAAACTTGCAGTGCCTTTTCCAATACAGCAATCCTGTACGGTGCCAGTGTTCTGATCTCGCGGAGTGCTTCCTCATTGCGCTATTTGTAGATCTGCTGTGTGTTCATTAGAGAGATATACTGAGGGGATTTACGACTGAACTAAGCAAACTGACCATTAATAGATTAACGGACTATATAGTACTGTGCCTATTCGCTTGCTTTTTCATAATTGCGAATCGATCATACACGACTAATTCTGGCGCAAGCAATTGTGTTCATGTTAATCCATAAAAGTGAAATAATTGTGTCCAATTCAGAAATATGTTGGTAGATTTATTTGGATGTATTAAATGAAAAGGAAGTATAGTTTTCTTTGTGAGGGCCGGAACTTTGCTCTGTCAGAGAAATCTAGACGAGGACTTTATGTAGCTTGCGGATCACAGTTCGCTTATCACTCACACGTTGTTATTCGTAGCAGCGGTAAATCTGTTATTTAGAGTACCCGGCACAATTCGATTGAACATATTTTTCGTTTGTAATAAAAGAATTAAATGATTTTTCAAAAGGTCAACATGCACTTACATTTATTGATACGAATCACCAAAGAACCACCAATAGAATTTGATCTTTTACTGGATCGTGCGTGCACTTTCGGCAAGTAAAGAAAGATACCTTATTGCCCTCTGAGAAAACGAGTAATATATACCTAGAAGCGGCTAGAACAGCATGTATTTTGTCTATAAATATATTATAGTATATAAATATTTATGTAGAAAATATTAATAGTACGTTTATTATCAGAGTTATATATATGTATACGTATTATGAACACTTTATAGGAACTGTATTTTTGTAAAGAAAGCATATGTCAAAATAAATGCTATTTTAAGAAGACGCGGTTGAGTTTTTATTTCACTGAACCGTTAGACCAGAACTTAGTCATTTGTAAAGAACAACGAACGAATGTTCTCAAATTTAACATAATCCTCAAATAATCGGGCTGGGTATGATCCCTGCGTATTACTCCGTCTGAGTTTCAAATAAGGCCGGTGCGTATCAATTGACACTAGACATATGACCGATGATTTTTTTTTCTACGCTACACAAAGTGTTAAATATGACTTATGTAGCAAACTTTCCTATTTTAATTATGGAGCATTAACGAATCGTCCTTACTCGTTCAAACAGAGAATAGCCTAAAATTTTTAAAACACAATTGGAGATCCATACCAGACGGTATTCTGGTATAAGCCATTTGAATAACTGCTAGTGATTATTGTTGTATTCTTCTTAGACATTATACTAATGCTACGACATTATCATGATGTCGTTATAGGAATTATAGGGATAATATTAGGGTGCCCCTATTACGTATGTTGCACAGTTGAATCCGCTTTTGATTGCGATAATTCAAATGTATCTACCTACGTTAACATACGGGAAATAAATATTCTCCAATTATCTAGATTTTTTAATACCGTTTAGAGACTTCCGGAACATTCTGCGTTACCCGCGTTACAGTCGATACCGCGATTTTTCATTTTTTTAGGACCTCGTGAAAAAATTTTCTCCGTTGCTGTACTAAAACTGTGCTAAGTTCGACCGATATCAATTGAATGATAGGTAGTATATAATAGTAACGATCTTTTTAATATTTACTTGTACGCATTCCATATAGATAGCTTAAATTTTAAAGTCAATAGAATTGAGCTTAAAATTGTCTGGTTAAGAATGATTTTTTCATCGTTAAATCTTCGAGAATGCAGACCTCCTGCTGGCGTTTATGCCTGGTCATGAGACTACGCTAGGTGGCGCTCATCGGTCAAATTGCCAATAAGATACCTACACAACAACTAGGGTATTGTCCTAGGAAAATCTAAAAACGCTCTCCAAAGTGATCCTATCGGAGGGTGTATGTGCTCTTCAGCAAAGCAGTTCGCTTCAAAGCAGTGACCATTGTGTAGATAAGGCTGGCAATTACCAATTTTAACGGAAAAACGGTGAGGCCTCTAAGAGTATACAATACGGTATTATTTTTCAAATAACCGTCGTTTGATCACCGTATGCATAGAATCGATATCTAAACAAAATACAAAATTAATAGTCTTGTTGGAACCTGACTCGCATAGTTATGACTTCAGGTACAGCATCGAATTTATAAAACGGCTTTGTCAACGCAGCACATACACAATGTAACACGACATTATATTTCTATTTTAACGCCTGGTACTTAACTGTTAGGTATTAGTTCAAACGGCTGACATTCTTCCGGTATCAAACGAAGTTTGCCTATGCGCAGATTCGAACCTAGAGCACCACCTGTCCATAAAATTAGCCAGCAAAGACGTTATTCAATGCACCTCCACCCAGATCGCAGGTTGCTACTGCGCGGGGTGTAGTGACCACCTATAGAGATTGTACATAGTACGTGAATCACGCATAGCCCTTTATGCATAGCTCTGACACGCACTGGTAAAGTAAAATGCCGAATTTCTAAGGACAGTAGTTTTTATTCTATTTTATGTTAGCATCTTGACAACAAGTAATGGACATACATATAAAGGTTAATCTAGATTCCCATGTATATATCTACTAAATCTATTCAGAATTACTTCCTCAAGTCAATTAGAAAGGCAGTGCTAGAGAACGTATTCACTTTATTGTCAGCCCCTATGAATTTTACTCATTAATAGTTCAAACATGGTGTATGAAGTGCCAAAAATAGTCATAGTTGTACAAGGGCTCAACTTAGCACTTGCTAGTAAAATTTCGATCTTTTAGACTATGTATTTCTAAAGAAATTAATTTTTCAGCGATACAAAAACGAAAAATTCAATATCAGCAAATGAAAAATTAGGAAAGAGAAATAATAGATAGAAACGAGTATTATTTATATCCTAATCGAATTTGGTAAAGAAATATAAACGTATAGTATTATTATTCCTGCTTCATATGATTGTTGCGCTATTTATTTAATTATTAATTAAATATCTCTTCAAAATGTTAAAATCAGTTCTTTTGTTGATTCAAGTTGACAAAAAAAGGTTAAGTGTGCACCTTAATTAGTTTCTTGAACCATTTCGACAAGTTTTACGTAGAAAAGTGGTCACGTCTAAATAAGGCGATGAAACTATTCGTAAATAGGCACTTAAGAGAGTACAAAGATTTTTGTTTTGATAGGAACGTATAGGGGAAGCAAGTAGGATTAGGATTGCAATGGCAATGATACAGATCTAAAGAAAGGAATAACATGAAGACGAAACCTACTATGTGAAATATTTATTAATTAATTGATTGGGTAACCCAAAACAAATAATACTTACAGAGTTTGCATTAAGATTTGAATAAATACTAGAATGGAGCGGCTTTCTGTGTTTGAACGTTCTAGAGTAGTGAAGTGCTTAGTTTACTTGGTAGAGACGTATTGCGTTTAGATCGACGGAAACTGATTTTTAAACAACAATATTCTACTTCCAAGAAGTTAAATGATTCGTTGATAGGGATCCCATATGATACGCTGCAGTGGCGTAGTTAGAGTTTGCCTGAAAATCTTTCCAACTTTGCCCTTAGCCGTAGGTAAGAAAAAGAACATCTTCTAATATTTAGCCTCAGAGACTATCTGCTATCGAGATGACATCGCATGATGCTTGACACTTTTTGCGGTAACGCCACAGCTTCTTCCTGGTCAGAGTGAAGAAGGATATGAACCTATACACCTACTAAAAAGATTGACAATATGTTGGATAAAATGTCGAGCCGGACTTTTCGCGTTTGTCTGTTGGCAAAATCCAAAAAAACTAATTACAACCAACCCGGATTTTTCGGAGTAGCAACATTATCACTTGCGGCATTACTATTTCTGCTGGCTTTTTCCAAATAAGCTGACCTAATGACTTTACACCGTTACATTTACCGCAGAAAAGGCCATGCATTCTGGGCCATAAACCTCGCTACTAACTGACTTTTTGCGACAAGCTTAGATTTTAATTTAAACAGGAAAACGAAGATACTTTAATAAACTTCTAAATAAAGCAACATATCTAGATATTTTTCTACTTGGCCATCACAGCTCATTATACTCGTCTATACATCAAGCATGAATTAATGTTTCTGCAAGTATTTTGTGCACAGAATTATCGCAGATACTTCCCAAACAGAAGCCTAATTATTTTGTCGTTCCAACCGCGTAAATATTAGACGCCACACGCGCAGCAGCAATGTACTGAGATAGTACTTTTCGCCTTAAATATGCGCGTGTGCATTTCCAATGGGAAATAGACTTCCTTCGATTCTTCGAGGCAGGCACAAGACACGATTGTCTTATTTGCATAGATCTTCTACCATATTGTTGTGTTAACTCTCCTGTATCCATTGTTTAGGCACTGGCTGAGCCAAAAACAAGCTCGAGCATCCCCACTAGACCAGATCTATTGAGTGAATATTGTATAAGTAAGCTTCATAAATGAAACCGTTTGTTGCTCACACTTATTCATTCATGTTAGATTATACTTTCCCAGTTCGGAAACAGTACAGACATCCATCAGGTCCCCGTTGGAATATAGCATCACTCTCAAACAAGCATTTCTCGAAGTTGCAAACCTTTGAGCAAAACAAATATCACTCCTATCGCACACCTTGCAGTGTACATTCATGTAAAAAGATCACATGCTAAACCTTCTTCCATTGGATCCTTCAGACGACGATTGTTGTATTCGGTGAAGCGAAACAAATTTGAGGCCGTCGATTATCTCATTAATAAAAACCGCAAAAAAAATTTAAAGGAGAAATCGGTGTAAGTCCGCGTCTCCTTCTAAGAGGGTCATAGGTCCGACGTTGCCTATGGTAAGCATGCCATGTCGCCATTTACTGCAGTACGTCTTTATTTTTCTCATTTATTCGCTGATAAGTTACTTCGCATCTTTTTATAATCAATAGCCTTCGAAACATTTATGATAAACAACACTTTATGACTGATTGTTTATTAGCTGGATTATTTCATCAATTACGATCGATAGGTTAGAATAACTATGGAAAACGAACTTAATTAATAGCGAGAAAGAACCCCAGGTAAGTTCAGACTTCTTCGGCGAACTTCACTCCGACTTGCTCCCTTTTAGTGGGACCAAATATTGACGCTGTACCGGGAAGGTGATTTTGAGAGAGAGGAAAAGCTGAGAGCAAAAAAATTAACTGGTCATCTCTTCTACGCAGCCAGTTTTAGTTGTTATCGCTGTCATTAGTTTGCACGATACTAGTCATTACCTTTCTTTGATGGTAGTCAGTTATTACACAGCATGTCGAATAGGGATCCTTTTTTCCGTTACCCGCACTCGATTCCGCGATTCCTATGACCATTATCATTTTTACTTCGCTTTGAAACGTTCGTTAACATTCAACTATTGTCGTAGTTGACACTAGGGTTGGGGTGTCAGGTAGTCGTACTGACAATTCTTGTTTGACATTTCCAATGGAGGTGTATTATGCCGTTTTCGAAAAGCGGACGAACGATGTGTGGATGAACTGTCTAAACAGTGGCTAGAACTTTGAAGGACCAAGCCAGAAACGACGTTGTTGTACTAGACCCGCCTTGACAACTTCGAGCAGGCCTTTTCTGTTTTCGTAGCTACGATAAGTGTTGCGCTAATCTTTGTGTCAGCAGCCTCAACGAACGTGTTAAAGTCAATGACGTGGAGAATAATGATCGCGCCCAATAACGATACCGAAGCCTAGATAATAAGCTATAAAACTCGCATAGCCTTACTTAGCAGCGATATGAGTGCCACGTCGGATCGTGACCGATGGAACCACCTGTTTGTTTGTTGTTTTCTAAAGACAACTACTTCCTTACTTTTTTTTTTACTTTAGGAACCTCTGAAAGCTAATCCTTATTAATTCCTTATTAATATAAATGAAGAAAATTTTTCCTAATTTTTTTCGAAGCTGCATCGAAACTAGCCATAGTGTGGAGCGTCGACTTCTTTCTTTGGGCAGGATGTTTTTAATCATAGTCCAGGTTCATCCCTCTTGAAATGGGTGACCTTTCGAAGAGAATACAGTGCTTCCGCTATAGCGAGTTTGTGAGTTCGTTCCAGGAAAAAGTGGCTTTTTTTCTCACCAGAAATTTCCGATAAGCGAATGCCCACCGTAATGAACAGCCTAGAAAGGTTTGTCTGACGGAACATTCTGAACGTTAGCACTGCCTCTTATACAGCGATCATAACCTGTTTATGGCTTTTCCAGCAAAATTTTTAGCCATTGATTTTTCGTTTACTTTTATTTAGAGGACGTCCTGTTTCTATTGCATTCTTCATGACTTACGTATTGAGTTGCGTTTTGGGCTAAGTTTGTTACGCGTCAGACCGCCCGGTCCAACGAACCTCTTTACGCTACTGAGCCAATGAATAGCCATACGTAGCCAAACAGCGTACCGACGATCCACACATGAAAGGTCATTGAGAGTCCGGACCCGGTGAAGATGGAAAACGTCGAGAATAGAAACATCAGTATGAGCGCTATTGACTGGCGGAATTGGCTGAGATCTCGCCGCAGTGCTGGCCCGGGAAATGGTTGACAGTCATTTGCGGGGTTGGCATCACGATTGTCATAATAGCGCGACAGAAGGCTGGAGAGGAAAACGTACAGCGCAAAGATACGATTACGTATATAACAAACAAATGCTTAAGCTAGCTATGGAGCTTTTATATAGCCTAACGCAAGTACACTGATTAACCATTGGAGAATAATTATTTGGTTATTGTTATATTATTATGAACAGATTTTACTTTGTCTAGTAGCTTTTTTTTTTTCTATGGAATTCTCTAAGAACAGTCTTTTTATTGCCCATTATTCAATCAAGTCATTCATGTGTGTAACGTAATCTTAACAAATACGAACTCTTCCTTTTTGTTGAACTGGGTGAAAAGGAAATCTCTAATTTTCTGCTCGTCTTCGGGTACGTTCTCGATCGGTATCCGCTCCAAATAGGCGTGTACAGAGCGACACCGCCCAGTGAACACATCTGTGTAGTAAAGTAAACGAATGTTATCATATTGCTCACACGTTTTTTGTGTCAGCAGTCAATAGAGAAATTCTCTATGGTAATTAATCATAGGCTATCAAAATAGCACTTGTTGAAATGGAGTCGAAGGGTGAACTATATCTCCATGCCGAACAAACGGATGAGGTAGAGATGTAGATCACAGTGCACTAGATATAATCAACAAGTTAATAAGAGATATATTTACAGATACTTAATGCAATTCTTATTTCACTGCCACCCACTGGAAAGCAATTACAAGGCAAAAATGTTCAGGGTGGCTGCATAATTTTTTGACTCGACCGGATCAGTGTTGTCACTTGTCTTGGGTTGACTACAAGGGTTAGATAGTATTCATTTACAAGATAAATACATATACTTTTATTTTATACCGATTAGCGATGGAGCAGACAATCTTCGGTTGCCATCCTTTGTGCCCCCGTAAATTATGGTGACGTCGTAGATCGCATCAATGTTTGGTCGCAAATAGCATATTGTCATCCCAAGGCCCCGTGTACGAGGGTACCGTACATGGTTTAACTGCATGATGAAGAAACTGACTGTGAGTAGATTGTGTTTGAATTCAGAGGATCCTGTCATTTGGTAGAAGCCTGTATGCTGGCAAGCATTCCGTATTGTACCTAGTTTATGTGTCTAATGACGCAGATTGCAGTACCAGCAACGTCACCATACATATTTCTCGCACATCGAAGTTGGAAGTTCCCATGGAACTCCGAAACAATAAACTAATAATGCCAATGAAAAAATTTTTTGCGTATAAATGACAATTATGGCTCTTTATGAGTAGAGTTTAATAAAAACGATCCAAGAATGCTCTCCAAGAAAGTTTAGGATGTATCTCATCCTGTACATGTGTCCTTGTCCAAAGATAATCAGGAGATGGAACTTTGAATAATTCTATGAGACGATTTGATAAGCATTTATATCAATTCTTTTTCTATTTGAAGCGGGGTCGACGAAAGAAGAGTCAGTTTGTGGTCAGAGAAGGATCAGGCGAGAAAGCAATAAACAGGGTTTAAGCTGATGCTTCTGCTCATTGTAGACAGCAGGGTCATCTGTTATTACAAGATAGTGCGCTAAAAGGAAACGGTCAATGCTATCCAAAACCTTGAATCCGGAAATACGTCATTGGTGTATGTGGCATAACGTGGTCATTCAATGACAAGATGTTGTGCATAGAGACAAAATAAAGCCGAACACTGGTTTAGCCGTCATCCTTTTTAAATCTGCAAAATTCGGTTGCTGCCGTGACTTAAAGAGGCCAACGGCTGACGTAACTTGCCGTATTATGGATTTGCCCAAAACATCGATAACGAGATTAAACATAATAATGTAAAACACAAGCATATACCTGTTGAGAAAGTCACAGAGCGCTGTTTTTGATGTGATAGCAATGAACGAGAGTACATCAAACATACATTAAATATCGGTTCAAAAGTTTTTCAACCCACTAAACAGCGACAGACAAATATATATATAGTCATTATCCTTCGATTCGAAAAAAAACAGAAATTATTCCCTCCTAAATAATAATGCCGAACTCCGACGTCTCACCTTGCGCAACCCATTTTTTTCAGCAAACTCGTGGCTTTCAATAAGCCTATCTGCTTGGTATCGAGTTCCTTCAGGAAATATCACCACAATCGACTGAAATAAATTGAAAACATATGCAATGATTTTACGTTTATGGAACCAATTTATCAGTGAAACCTAAAGTCATAAACTTTTTTTGCTTATTAAAAGGTTTTAAACCGCAAAGTATCGAAGGACACAAAGAAACAATCTAGCACGATATGTAAAACACTTAAAGCTACAACTTCCTGTTGAAATACCACCAACCTGGCATTGATGTACACAAAATAAACATCCTGAATACTTGCCGGAATTTGTTTGTTTTGCAGGTAAAGCAAAGTACGGCGCATCTTTTCAAAATTACATTGTTTACGGTTTACGTAGATGCATCCATGATGGTGAAAGTAGAAACCGTATAGCGGAATAATTTGAAGAACGTCTTTCATAAAATACCGAAGTTGACCAAGGCGGCCTAGGCGTTCCGTGATGCAGTTGCCAACGATCCAGTCAGCTGTAACATGTGGTTTCGATGACAACAATCTATTACAATCGCTCGTGTTGTCTTTATTATTCTTTTTGATAGTAAATTGATGAATTCTGGGCAACCAACAAAATACCGAAAGACGTCATGCGTCCATATTGTAGTTCATGTTAGATAAAGATACCGGTAACTTTGTATGTATAACTATTAGACATATATATATATATATATATATATATATATATATATCTAATAGTTATACATAACTATTAGAGCCAATTACTTATTTGCGCAATTCTTGTTCCATTCATAGCGATATCGACGGAGATGCCTGGGGCTTATTTTTCGAGCCCTCGGCCGTACGATTCTTGTGTATGCCTCAACATACGTTTTGGGGACGTCCGTGCTCTCAGTCAACTCTTGTGTGAAACTATCATTCCTACAGGCAACGGAAACACTACAAATAAATGTGTCCAATCCACGGAAGTTCTTAGGCTGAGATAAGTGGATACTACGATGGAACGAGCTTAAGCATGTTGAGCCGAACTCAAACCACTACCTGTTTATAAGTTTGAGATGACATCCCGTGGCGAGTCTTCTAGGGTTTGTGTGATTATCATCAACGTTTTCACGCAGTCCGGAAACGGTGCGGTGCCTGTATAGTAAATGTTTACTCACAGAGATGTCACAAGTACTTCGAACCTGTCGTTGGGGCCGCCCAAACGTTAGCAGAACCGTACGTCTACTTATTACCGCGTATTATGTTTCGAACAAGGAAAATATGGGTTAGAGCACGTGAGTTCGTAGTCGGCTGCGATGTATGCCGGCTTGCGGGGGAAAGCTCTTCTCTATTCTTTTGAGCAAGAGTTCGCGAGAATTTAAAATTTCGTTGAAGGGCGAGCACCGACCATATTAAAGAGGATATACAGCCGTTATCACTACGCGCATTATCAGGATAATACGGTGTATTTCGGATTGTCTCTAGATCTCGGTGGCCAGGCCTCTTGCCGGGAGCTTACATAGGACACCCTTGACTGTGCCAAAGATCGGCAGTTGTGCGATCTATTAGTGGGCTTCGAAACGTAGCCGAACAAAAAGGTCTAGAGAGAGCGAGAGGAAGTTTTGGGCGCTTCGGTTGGGGTACAAATACATGCCGCTGGATAAGTGCGGCCGAGAAATATAGAATATCAATCTATACATTTGCCGCTACATACAGTCGAAGCGCCCAGCCGTAAAGCGCTTGTTTCTGCCAATTAACGACAAAGCTAAACCGGTCTGTTTCTATATACATATATAAACCTGCAAAAGCGCCCAGCAGATACATATTATAGGGATATTATGTAAACACTGAGACGCTGAGCTCAAGAGGGATCGAGGGGCTTAAACCTACAGAACTTCACCTCAAAGACACTATCGCATTTGAATTAAGTAATAAACTGTTGTAAATAGCTGAGGCTTTATATCATTACATCTACAACTATACATCCTTCGCGCGAGCTGGAGGACACAATAGGCTGAACCGATTAGTGGACTCTAATTACTTTCTTAAATTACTTTAATTATTTAAATTAATTAAATTACTTAAATTAATTCAAAAGTTAAATTACTTTAATATATGCGGAAAACGATGATTAAACGGTCATATCAACTCAAGAAAACACGTAACAATATTTACTTTACTCACTCGCCGATTGATGGTTGCTTAATAGTAGAAAACGTTCCTTTTTGTCAATAATGCGCTCAAAATCACCGTATAAGGATAGCTGGAATTGTACAAAAGTCTCTGTAAGTACCAACGAGAAACGTTGGTAAAATTCGAACACGAGATCATCACCTGAAATTCAACAAAATTATGTTTAGAGCAACGCATTTGTCTACTATGGGTTTGTTTTATAGGTATCCGTAATATAACTGATACTTATCTGAATCTAACTTCATGCCATTCCGTACCTATTTGGTAGATGTGGGCAGGAAAAACAAGACTGATCATTCTCCATAGAAGCCAGATGACGTACAATGGTGCAACTGGGCTTAGCAGAGCCACTAGGTTGAAAGAGACACGCACCCATTTAATTCTGTGCAGAACGTTATTAATGACGAAAAAAACCAACATTACCAAAAACACACAGGGTGGATCAAGGTACAACTATGTATTTTGCTTTTTTTGCCCTTTATGTTTACACCCAAATGAAATATTAGAGGTAGGCAATATGGCTAGATAATCTATTCTTCTCTATTCGTATTTCGCATTTCTTGTGTGTTAGGACCGCTATCTTGGGGTGCTCGTAGTAGCTAAAATTGAGGATGTACATAGAATCATGGAAGTTAAATTGAACCACTTTTACTTAGTTAGTTAGAAATTGGTTTTTACCCTATCTCCATACTGTTTTAAATAGATACATTTTATGTAATGACAATATTAATTGCTATGTATTCTAAGTTACTATTACTTCTGTATGCTATGAGTTCTGTAGGTTTCTCTTTTTCATATTGACAACAGTAAGCATTTTTGTTGAAAGGAACGAACTTACATAACGTCGCTGATCATGTTCGATAGAGCAAGTCTGGTGCTATGGCCAAGAGGGGAACCGTCCTTGAGGATTCAACGCACTGTTAATTCAGAAGGCTATTGTTGCCAACGGCATTACTTCATTTACCAAAGCAGACCGAAGACGTTTTGGGTTGAGTGAGGCTGAGTTTCTTGAACTAGCCTAATCTTTTGTTTTTGTTCAAAGGACTACTCCATGAGTCGGCGTAGCATCAGAGACGAAATCTAAACGTCTAGTCAACTGCAATTCTGCAACTCTGAATATTCTTGCTTGCCTATGTCCGTCACATAACATTTCTCGGAGCGAAAAGCTTAGAGCGGCTTACAACGGTTCGCTGATGATGCCCGATACTACCACGAAAGGTCGTATTAGTACGATCGGCAAGCTGTTGCGGCGAAGCTTTCACCCGGATGGAGGCACAATTCGTTGCATAAATAACGTACGATATGCTACAGGGCGCTTTTCGCTTCGAAATGTCCTATTTCTGCTCGCTGTAGTTCAGACGACGCTGGAAATCAGACAAAAATCTAAACTAAAAATTCGATGGCGACATTAACATTGCCGCCATTGAACATGAAGACAATAGTTGTTGTCACTGATCATCGCGGGCATCAAAGAACGTCTTCTGAATAAAGCTTATGTGATGATCTTATATCTGCTGTCACGTCTGATGCGGATAACAAGAACGCGTTCTTACTTACCCTATGCACAGATGTAACTAGAAAACTAGAAAAAACTCAATGGGGAATTATACACTGACGCGTTCACAAAAGCCGGTCTTAGTTGTAAAATGCAGTCGTGATTAATAACGGATACCAGCAATGCCTTGAGCTCGTTTTAGTCAACCAGTTAATAAAATAAATATCTACTGCAAGTAAATATCTTGGCTTATTGGCTGCCTCAAAACTAGTCCGTGCACCTTGTTCCTCAGCAAGGCAATCTGAAGTGTCATCTGACCGATATATCCATTCAATCAGGAATGGATCAAGAGACCAATAGAGGCGATTCGTATCCGAAGTGTACAGTGCTTTAGCATTTCTAGCACATACGAAATTATATCCGAATATGTTTGTATCAATTGTACGAACGTAGTAGCGTTAGGTTCATAAAGAAGCGTTTCTACAAAAGCAAAAATTTAGTGTCTCTCTTTCTTCATATGATCGATACGATTGACTATTTAGTGACTGCTCTCGCTAATTATAGTTCCTCATCAAACGCACAACAGTGATGCCGAGGAATCGAGTCTGAGCCAGATCAGTGTTTTGAGTACAGCTCTTTAAGCACCTAGCGGAACGCCGGCTCAGCTTGATAGCCAATACTATTTACAAATAGGAATATTTTTAAAAAGCCACCACTGCAATTTTCGTCGGCCAAACCGTTATGATGTAGTTGTAGCTGCGGTAGCTTTAAATACGAAATCTAGTGAAAATAGCCGAAAGCCACTTAGTTCAAGAAGGGATGATACCTTCCAACATGTGTTTCACTCATAAGAAAAATCGTGCCAGCGGGTTTTATCAGACAGATTTCGGATCTCTCCACCGAGCCACATAGTCCGACACAACCGCCTGGAAGCTTTTGAGACATCATATGACCAAATATTTATAGTTGTTCAATGACGTGGCAAAAATAATTTGCCACCTTTGTTTAGCGTCCCTTTGGCTAAGCAGAACTTCAAAGTTAGGGTAAAAAACCGCTTACGAATTATGGGTCAGACTCGAGTAGTAAGTTTCGTGGTCATAACTAAAATGAGCCCAATTGCTTATTTACGAAATACATCGACAATCAATACATTCGGAACTTGTTCATTAACATAATCCTACTTCAGTTGAAGCAAAATCAAGGTAGTTCTCCTAACAACCACATATTTTCTGTCAAACTTAAAATTCGGTATCGCTGTTAGGCATTTCACTAGACGACAGACTCCCAACACAAGACGACGTCTGTCTATGCCCGGGTTCGAAACTGGACCACAATGTGCCCCTAAGATTGGTAGCATGCAAGTACGTCGCCCACTAAACTGCTACCGGGACGTAGATTCTTACTGTACATAACCGTTTATTGAAAAGCTATCGTCCCTTCACATAGCCAGGGTAGCAAATAGGGAAGAAATCTAAGTTTAAATGCTAACTATATCGAGTCCGTCTACCAAACATGACACAGGAGCGTCCATGAAGATGTTGTCGGTAGCCAGGCATGCTTTCTCACTGAATAGGTAAAAATAGAGGCCAGTCTATTAACTAGAGTATTTGGTTTTGACACAACGGCTCGCCCACAACTTTTTAAAAGTGACCGGTGGGTCTGGCAAATTAGTTTACTTTTGAGTTTCTGCCTACTTTATTGCCATGCGCAGATCTCACGAAATAGAAAGCGCTCAAGAAAGCAGCGCTTTCGCTAAACGCACCTGCATCTCGCCACTTGTTCGGTCAAGAACTATATCGTGTGTAAACGAAAACACGACCTCACTCAAAACATTCGATTGCGCAATTCCTTCATCTATTTAGCCACTGATTTTTGCAGTTCCAATATGCAGAAAATTGTTTCGACATGACTGTTTCGTTATATAGATCCTTTTCTCACCAAAACACAGCCATTTCATAAGCCGTCATTCGTTACACGTTGTGTGTTATACAGGTCAAACAGAAGCGATCATTGATGCTTTTACACTTACAGCAGGGCGGAGGCCGCCATATTTTTATCGTGTACTGATGTTGTGACACTGCAGGGATAAGTGACAGCTCTCTCTCGGAAAACTCTGACGACGAACGCGGAAGACAATCAGCTTGGCCACGGAGTTCCTATCCGGCTGACGCTCCTTTCTCAGCCGAGTTCAGGCCCAGCCGAAGGAAGAATACTTCTGCTACTCCTACCAAGGCAACTGCTAATAGCGAGGTACACTGTGAGCTCTCAAAACCTTAGCAGCGCTCGCGCCGCGCAGGGTGCTAGAGGAACAGACTGATCCGATAGCTTCTGAGGACGCACAGGCGCCATCTGGCGGATCTCGGACGAGTACGGGATCATTATCCGATGGCCCATGTCAAGCAAGCACGAATTAAACGTCGCGGAGGTCAGAGTAACTACGATCAGTGGGCGAACTATTTCAGTCTAACGGCCTTTCGTTCTACACCAAATACGCGACCTCTGTGTACATCGATACGTAAACCAGAACAAAAGGAAAGAGTTTAAAAGAATAGCAACCCACAGTCGACAGTCATGTTTGACAAGATCCGAAAACGATCCTCATTTAAAGCAATTGTTTGCAGTGTCGATGATACGGTAAGTCTAGTATATTGCGTTATTGCACAGAAAGCGAATAACAATTCGAGTAGGTCTTCAAGACCACGTTACGTATTTGCGCAAAGATGATGTGTCGTTGACAAAGCTAGCTCCAATTATAAAATGATTCCGTTGTCAGGTAGAGCCTTTTGGTGAATGCACGAAGTAGTCAACTAAAGAATGGCACCATGTGTCGCTACAAGCTATGCACGCCATTAAACTTAATACGACCTTTGTCCTTACATGGTTTTAGATAGAAATCACGGAATGTACATGATACTTAGTTACGCAATAGGAAAAAATGGGCGCGGTAATTCTGGAGTCCCTGCCAATGTACCTACGAACAGGCTGCAAGAAGTCTGGACAATGAATTATTCTAGGCTAACTTCTGTTGTAGATTCTTTTCTAAATTGGTCTGATGGAGCAGAACAAAAAGACTGCATTCAATGAGATGCGAAATACCCATCTGACTACCGAATACTGGCGGGGATACGCATAATAAAAACAGTGTGTATTTATAAAACGTCTGGCCACAGATGTTACGTAGCTCTGTTTTGTAGTAACTATGGAGGAACGCATGCTCGTATTCTATTATTAGTGTGCCAAACTGATTCAGCTCGACCAGTGGACTATGATGAAAGCCTTTTGTCCTTCGTTAGCCTGCTTCGTAAAGAACTGACACGTTTACATTATTTCACGGAAGCAGTGCTTTCGAGCAATAAAATTGCAGAGAAATTGCGTTGTTACATTTTTTGATCACCTGAAATCCCTGTATACTTGACTAATTATACGATGCCATCGTCCTTCTCAAGGGCTACAGCCATACGACATCATTACACCCGCTAATATTCAACGTGAGTAAATGTCTCTTGATACCGTGATGTACATATATTCTTCCCTAATAATTAATCCCTAATATATGTCTATCTAGTCCACTATATCATCATTCGTTCCTACCTAATACAGCTGCAAATTATAACCAAATTATACTATATACTAAACCGCATAATAAAGAAACCGAACAATTCCGAATAGCATCTCGCATTTTATTTATTCTGTGCTTTGCAGTTATCTGCTATCTAATTGATAATAATAACCTCTTTCGACATTTTGCTTTCGATTAGATATTTGAAATTATTTTCTATTTATCGATTTCGAAATTCTTCCTGTTATTAGTATTCGTAGATGCAGCGACATAGCGACCGCTTTTTATCGCTAATGTTATTTACAAGTGCAATCCGACGCAATCTCGTAGTCAATTGGATTCGTCCTTCCTGTTGCCCCATCCAAGTACTCGTTGTTTAAATAATTGGAAAAATTCTGGTCGACCGTGTTATAATTCTATACGGGATCATGTCGCACGGCATTTCTTTTTAGACTATCAACAAACAAACAAACAAAGGGTGAAGTTTTAACGCACGAAAACTATGAGCGAGACTTACATGAACACAGTGTACATTTTAACGTCATCAATACTATTACTGCTATAAGTTATCCAATGATTATTAGTCGGTCTTGTCAGCTTCTAATATCTAATGTTATCTTTGCAATCTGTCTATTCCGAACACGTACGTTGCGCCATATTTTGTATGCGCGTATTTTGTTTAATCTCATCTGACCATTTATGCGATCAAGCCATTATCATAATAGTCGTCGGATCTATTTAAATGCGCTTCATTGCAGCAGCGGCACTACCCGCTTCACTTGATCTACGTACTTACCATATATCATCAGCTAAAATCATCCGTTTTAGATAAAATATACGTATATTTAAAAAAACAAGCAGCGATGATAACAAAACAACCCTTAAGAAGCAGCTTTTTTTTTTTGAAGGAAGACTTTCGCCATTAAAAGCATGCCAGTCCTTTATTCTACGTCAAGGAGAAAAATATTAAAGACATGAATGGGGCAATGATGCGAGTACTGTAAGCGGAACGAAGGTTTACAGCGCTTGTATTCCGAATCATCGTCATAGGGAATATTGAATAGAAAAAGTTCTAAAATGCATTAAACTTATTTAATTAGAATGGAACAGGAAATCTACGCTGAAATAATCAAATTTGGTGGCCCGGGCATGCCAAGCTGGAATACATTGGAGGATGAATTTTCCCGCGATTGATGCGGTCACGCAGCTGAATCAATTTGAGAGGGTGCATGTTATATAGAAAACATTTAACATCGAAACATAATCAACAACGATTTAATAATGTAATTTAAAATAATAATTATCATAATAGAAAGCAATATACTACGCCTAAGAGGAGCCGGCCGTAAGACAAAGCTATGCATAGGGGCATATCCTCCGTTCATTACAGTATTTTATATAATCAGTTAAATATACATAAACCAAGTGTATGTATATGTATATGGGCGTAAATAGTGTTTGAAGATAATTGGTACATCTTCAACAATGCGGCAACCAAATTGTTATTAACAGATGATTGATAGATAGTCGGCAAAAAGCCACACACACAAGTACATGATGGCTACTTGAAGTAAATATAATGAGCTAATTTCGGTAAGGAGAGAGACCCCAGGGCACGCAAGTTTCGTAGGGTCTAGGTTCGCCTGTTTAAGTCGAGGATATTTTTCCGGTTATCGGCACGTTCGTTCGTGCTTCGTTCGTGCTTGTTTTCCATGTACATATATATGTGTACTTCCTTCTTTGTAATCATCAGGTAGCTAAATCTTGCTACGTTGATGCTTGTCTAGTCTCAGTAATTGATAGTTGTGTTCATTTTCCACCGTCTAAATTTTTCTCCTGGATACATCTAAATGTAGGACGCTAGATCCTGTTGTTACATTACAGGAACCGGCCGCCCCCTCCCCCCTCCCCCATTCCCTTTACTTTTATTGCCATTTACTCCGTTACGATTCTATAGGACTTCTTTAGCATACCATAACTTATGATTTTCACTCTCGTACACTCTCAGCAAGGTACCATAAAAGGAATGCTAATTTTTTCCAGTAATTTTGCCTTTGTATCTCAATCCTTTATTCAATATTGCCTGTGAACGAGATAAAACTGGTCTTTAAGCTTCGGTACACCGGAAATTCCACAGGGATACTGCATACATGCTGGTGCTGCTGTGATCGGCTATTCGCGACCTGCAATAATTCGGTGCCGTTAACGAACAGACTAGAACGAAGAAACTAGAAAACGTATTGATCCCATGGCTTTACGACAACAGTGAGCCCTAACTAACTGTACTCAAGCTCAGCAAAAGTAATCATCCCCGTTCCCAAGCCTGGTAAAAACAAAAAGCATATTAGAAAAAAAACAGATCGCAGCGGTCATCACATAACGGCAAGGGCTACAGCCACTAGCAGCGACTGGAGACAGGTTTGAATTATGTCCATCCGCACGATTGTGTCGTATCATGCGTATGTGTGTCTCGACCGGAAAAACTTATTGCCCCGGAGTTATGGCGATAGGGGCTGCAACTGTCGTAAAAACAGTTTTCTTAATTTATGCAGACCTACAGTCAGTACATTCTCATATTGTTACGCCGTTCCGCAATTATCTATGCATTATTTGTGTATATGGATATGCTTATTGTCACGTCAATAATAAGGACAAAAACACCGCCAGTTGCCGCCATTACGGCATGCACCTGCGAATTGTAGGCCGGAATCGTAGAACGCTTTCCTACTCTTCGGCCCATATTGACGTCTCAGTATCTTTTTTACGCGGTTTTTTTTCAAGATGATTAGTACGAACCGGACAAAGTAAAATTTAGCGAAAGCCGCCATGAGTTCACACCGTTTTCTGTTTGTCGTCATTAGTTAACGTTGTTGTCGGCTAGCCTTGCCGGAGTCTATACGACTGCAGCAAGTTTGTCGATAGTTAAAGTTAACTACGGGGAACTGGAGAATGTTCCTATTCTATGTAAATAAGTAGAATACAATACTGCGTAATGCGTCAAAGCTCATTCTGCTAAGTGAATATGTGTGTGTGCTGAACGTGTTTGATTACCATTTTGCCAACAGTTACTGGGATTGAACTGAAACATAGTAAACGGTTAAATAAAAGACTGCCCCCACCTGTCGTTTGGTTAGCTATAACGACACGAAGATTGTGCATCGATAATAACCGACAATTTACTCGGCCACTACGTGATATTACAAAGACAAATTTAAAAGAACCTCCAAGGGGCTAGGAATCTTTCATTGTTCATAACAATTCGAATCCGATTTTCTCGAGTAACTCGTAAATGTATTGTTCGTCCCTTTGATTGCTACAATTTGGTTATTTTTTTACTTTTCATTAATATATATATATATATATATATATATTTAGAAATCCTTAGATCAAAGATCGATCATTATAATATAATAAAAGTCTTACTAGCAGAAAAGAAAAGCCTGTGATTTTGCCAAGTCAAATTATTTTCACTAGCGTATTTTAAGTACTCGTCTTATATATAAAATACGCGTCATATATATATATATATATATATATATATATATATATATATATATATTTTTTTTTTTTTTTTTTGCCGTTTACAAACCACTGTTATATACATCCGTCGATCAATTTAAATATATATTGCTAATTAAAATATATCACCCTTAGTTGCACAATGTCAATAGTAGCACAACCAACAATACATTCGAACCATCACTTCTACTATTATTAGCTTTGTATTACGATGGAAGATTATCGCCCCAAGAGTTCTAAGCAGGCCCCACGCCCTGGGATCCAAATGTGCCGTCTAGACGTGTTTTCCTATGCCTCTGTGATGTTTATTCATTTGTTGAATGTACACCAGTCGTTCCTGAGCCTTTTTGCTCTGCATTTATGCATTTTTTTCTAGTATACACAGTGTCACATACGCCCAGGTGGAACAGTCATATTACATGAAACTATCCATTTCCCGCCATTATCAATCATCGTTGACAAGAATAGTATTTCTCTCTTTGCGTGTACACTAGCGCCGCCATATAAACAAATGAACAATCCTGAACATTAGATGACAATTAATACTTTTTTACCTGAAGATCTTTTTGACCCTTAAGAGTTGTCGAAGATACGAAAAAAATTTCTGAAATTGAAATAAAATAGATAAACATGGATCTTGAATTTAAAAATGTAATACGTTATTGATCAACTTAAAAATGTTATATTTGATGAGTTAACTTCGTTACTCTTGTTGATTATTTTATATTTTTTTTCATTCTTGCTACAAGACAGCTCTTTAATTATATATTTGATTTCCCGTATTGGTTTGGTAAATTTAAATAAACTTTGAATAGACTTAAACTATTTTGTAAATGTGTATGGCATGAGATACTCGCACAGAGCAGCTACCAGAAGTACATCATTTGTGTGTTTCATTAATTTTGTACGTGATCTTTACTGACATGTGGTGGTCCAAGGAAAGTGTAGTCGTCGGGGCAACGATTGCACCCGGGAAACAAATTTTGTGGTACACTGCGGTGCGCTCAAACATTGTAACAATCAAGTCGACCAAATCACGAATGCTCAATGGCCGTCCCTTTCGTTTCTGCCTGTAGGCACGAACGAGCTCGATAACAATCTGACTTTTATTTACCTGTAGCTAGTCTTTGCGTTTGCTGCGCCAGAAGTTTTGTATATGGGTACGTCAAGGATGAAGCGTCCCACTAACTTTCTTTAAATTTAACACGTCTGTCGCTCCATCTCATTCCCTTGTTTGCAGATATTTCCTCACTAATTCGTATCATACACCATTGCCACGAAGTCCTTAGGACAGGTCACCAGATACAACACTGAACGTAAAAAGATGGCAACTAATAGCAGTATATATATATGTAGTTGCCAAGTCATTTTTACGTTCAGTGCTAATTATATAAACGCAAAAGTTCACTTTGGTATTAGGGAATCAACAAAATCTATTGTTATAATGTTTTTCTTTGCTCGATTCATGCTATTAATAATATGTTTCCCGTAGTATAATATTGCAGGTGTATCGTTTGACATACTATAGTTACCAGTTTGAAAAACTTGGTGTTATTATCGAACTCAGTGAACCAGATGATTAAGAAATTTTTATCACGAAAATATGATCTCATCTTTGCTATGCGTGGTTAAGACCGCTTCAGGGTTACCGCTCATCAAGTATCTCAGGCTTAAGGTGTAACGTCGAGTCACTTAACATTTTAGGATCAAAACAATGTCGGATGATTCATTAATTATCCCAAATAATCACAGTTACTTGACTTACTCAGCAGATGGGGTTGGTCTTGATTACTCAGTACATAAACCAGAGAAGCACACTAGGATAACGGCTGATCCGAACTTGTAACCATTGATGATTATATAGAAAAAGTTTTTGGAAATAGTTTCTGCGGCACCTCATATTGATGTAATCGTAATGAACAAGGATGCATATTTCTGTCGTAAAAATATTCAGTAAAACACCACGTAACACAAATCGTTACAACGCCGGGTCCAGGGGCGTATAATTCGAAGGACACAAAACCGACTATTCAGACAATATCGCTTCTGGCAAACAAGGAGAACGGTAGGTCGATCATGTTCAGTCATGACGCTTTCGGAGTATTGCATCTAAATGTCATATAAAATAAAATATATACGCTTTGTCTGCCGTGTATTTTCTCATGTTTGAACCGTCCCCTTACATTCTCCTATGGTAGATATCTACTTTTGTTTCTTAGTGCCTGCCCTTACCGGATACACGCTACTATCGGGTTGTTGCTTCGCCACCTTCATTAACTTTCTTAACCGGCCCAGTCGGGTAAGCAAATACAACCATGGATAGAACAGTTCAGTGATGGTTTGCCTCGAGGATTTCATTTTATCTACATGCGATCTGCGCACGACAGACTACTTCCTTCTTTACGTTGAGAATTCACCCGAGAAATCTTGCATATGGTGTTTCCACTGACCATTACAATGTTAGTTGATCCGATGACTGAAGTCATCGTCCCCGCAGAGATCAATGCTTTAAGCTGCGTATGAAACGCATGCCCCGGCAATAATTTCTGCACGCACCATGCCTCATACAAGGCGGACCTTTCATCGTATCATCTAACGTTGCCCTCTTTATTATCTAAATTGACCTTACAACCCTATTCCGGACGTCGTTTGACGCTCGAGTATGCAGGTTTTCGTACCCAAAAGTGTTCTGCCACGGACAACAGGACCAGTTTCCACTACACGCAAGTCTTGCTAAACAAAGGCTAGAGGGTTGCACAGTACGTCCATGCTAGCGATCCAACTTAGCTAAGGGTAAATTCTTTGCTTACTGACTCGACGCTTAAATTTATCCGCCAGGCTCTTCGGTAAACCTAATGCTTGTTGCCCTTGGGCTGCGACGCTCGATGTTGGTATGTAGCAGTTCGAACAATTATGTGCGGATAATCTTAATTGCCGAGTTCAAAGTACTCTCTCAAACGATCTTTTAGTTCAAGGTACCTGCAACGAGTACACAGAAATGCTAGTTATAATTACATGATTACCTTATCTTTATTATTACCTTTATAATAAGAGTACAGGTTACTCGTTATGACTAAGTGATGTATCAATGAATGTAAGAAAACATCTAGTGTGTCGTAGCTGTTTTCCATATGCATACGAAACTACTGGGTTGTGCTTACCGAGTCAGGCGGGCAGCACCGTACTCCCAATACCCAAAGTTGATCTTTGACGAATGTGCTGAATTAAGGGCCCACAAACTCCAGAAAATGTGAGACGCCATTGTGAAGGTCTCAGCCTCCATTAGGAGATGTTCAACCGTGTTTACTTTTGGATCAATGTCTCGGTGAACTGATGTACTTTTGAGTGCAGCCAGATATTCCTCCAGGAAAGCACGCTAAAAAGATGTCGTTAACAACGTTACACGACTAAACATAGAAAACGACGTATGCATAGTAGCTAAGATGGTCATCTTCACAAATCGTTATCATTAATTTGTCGATATTACAAATGAACCTTCAAATTACCTATAAACAAAAAGTAAAAAAAAGGAATCGCTAGTTATATTTACCCTTTGATCCTCGCTAGGATAGTTCTCGATAGTTTCTTTGAACAGCGGGTATTCCGGATAACTGTAGTCATAAGCCCACTCGCAGAAGTGATTGGCAATGTCGAACCCGCGATAATTATACGCGCAATACTCAAAATCTATGAACACAAGATTCTCATCAAGCGAACTTTCATCGTTCGCTTGCATATGAAGGATATTGCCTAAAAAAAGAAAAGGAAATATTTCTTTAGAATAGTATCTACGTTGAAGATGCGAAAACCACGTGCCACGTGCTGATTATACCGCAGCTCTTCATCATACAGATTTCTCATCAAGATGATTGCTTAAAACAGACCACAAAAGGGAAGCCGACTTTGTACTTTCCAATAGAACTGGTTGTCACGCCTGCTGTGTCACGCATTAACACTGTCCTTGTATCCACGCAACGGCAATACAATTAAAGCACGCGAGCACGTACATACAAATGCGCCATTACGAGAAATCAAGTGATTTACTATACCGATGCAACCGCCGCAATAGTATACGTAACGGCAAGAATATCAAGTAGAACTCAAGTTATCCACGCAGTACCGTGATGCCTATGATAGACTCCCTCGCTATAGATAAGAATTTCTAGAGGTAGATCTGTTAACATAGCATAGCGTGTCGTCTGAAGTGAGCTAATACTAGAAAATCCAAAATCGGTCAATATAAAAGCACCGCATGATATATGTATGTGTATGAACAAAAAAAAGCTGTTGTTGTGCATGGCCAGTTGTCGTTATCGTTGACGTAATAGATGACGAGATATACAGACTAATGCGCAGATGCATCAAAGGATGCTAAGATCGCCAAAATACGTACATTTTATAAAACTACAACAATGCAGTAAATAAGCATTGACTACCGCTACAAGCTGGTAATTCAAAGAGCCTTTTTGCATTTGCATACCCGACATCGTACGTAGAATACAAACATAAGACAAATACACGTAAGTAATACCTTCTTGAAGATCGTTATGGCAGAACATGATAGGCGATTGAGCTTTCTTAAACACCTCGCGTAACCAGGCCATCTCCTGGCGGTAGTCGAACTCCATAAGCATTTTGGCGTACGGTAAGACCTCCTTTCGGATGTTGTCCACTGAGATTGCTTTACGCACCTCTAGCCACCTATACCGTCGTTTCGTAACCGTTAGTACGTTACATACAGACAATTCAAGTACATGTTCCATATATTTACGCGTCGCATAATTTCTTAAGTGCTCAGTTGCAAAAATAGCTATCGTTCTTTTAAGCGACCGATTTCTATTTAGCTATAATATTTAGCACATATGAAACAAATAGTCGAAAACTTTTATTAGATCTATTGATTTGTGTATAGAACAGATCAAATTAACTAGGCGCTTTGATTATCGCTGATATCTCTACAAAATGTGTTGATCGACCCGAGATCCGTGACCAGACACCCAGGACATGGTTCCATCACGCTTCTTGTCGATTTAAATGTCATAGCAAACTTCGCACAGAGAGGTGAGTTTCCACGTTCTCCAGATACCGGCCTCTTGTTGCTGTTGTTGTTGTTTTGATAGAGCTCTTGTTGCTATTAGTAAGGCCTCTCATTGCAGGGTCCTATCCTTCAGCAACAGAGCTAAACTTCAAGATCGCTCTCTCAAGTAGCGACCCGATCGTACAGAGCTAAATAAGGCCGATCGGCGGCCAAGTCAAGATCCAATGTGACGTCACAATGGCGCGACGTTTTGGTCGCACGCGCCCTCAAGCTTACTCTCTCTCTCAGAGCTTTCTTTCGCTCTCTCCCTCTCTTTCTCCCTCTCCCTCTCCCTCTCCCTCTCGTTCTGTCTCTCTTCTCTGTGGTTTTGGACGCGTGCGCAGTTCATTAGACATCAATTAATCGAATCGGACTCTTCTTACAACAAAGAGTAAGACCAAAACAGGCACGATCGTGTAAGGCTTATACGCATACACAGTCAAACATACATTTTTTGGAGTAATAAAGGTAAACTAAGAATTAATCATAGGAGAGGGAGCTGAGGAAAGAGCGTCCAAGTTTCGGCTTTGGGATATCCGTCTGTACGATTATTTCTGCGCAGAGGTAGAATGAAACTTTGTCGGCTCTTTGTGCTCGCAGAATCGTATCTGTCGTTCTTAGTATTGCTCGATATTTGTATTTACATGCGTTAGTTCAGTAGGCAGGAACAATGGCTAGGAGCTCCTAAGAACATTTTACCTAAGTATACATTTTCTAATGTTATTCGTTTAATAATAGGCGCTAATGACTATCAGAACATAATCGTCGTTTCTAAAAAAACGTCGGCATAGAGAATTAGTTCGTTACAAACATTTGGTTTCGGTTTCTTTACGGAAAAAGTTTCGTATAGTTTTTGGCAAATTCAGCAGTACAAGTAATATGAATGATCACTATTACTTTTGATTTATGGCCGGCACGATGTTTTCAGAGTTACATCAAACGTAAATTTCTCTATTTCCAACTTAAGCCTGTTCATATCTAATTGTTATTATGCAAGCCCTATCTATCTCTCTATCCATCTATTTATCTGTGCATACCTAAGCTAAACGTTTTACGTCCGGTATTACTATCGACACTATACCATGTTAACCTAATTCATCATCATACTTTTCTGCGTTAACGATGCCACCGATGGGTTTTTTGCTACGAGATCTTATAAAGCAACGACAATTTCTATTAACAACTTACCGAAACCAGAGTCCATAACGAAAACGGAAAATGATATCTAGATAAAGCAGAAGAGCAAAAATTTTGATTTAACTTGGCTTCTAGTCGATTCGTACTAATTTTTTTCGAAAAGAAAGACGCCATAGCACAATAAAAGTGGCACCAGTATCAGCAGTGACATGTTGTATGACTATATAGTCCCTATACTTCGCATTAAATACACGACAGAAGAATGTTGTTGAGATGAAACCGATATTAGACCTGAACCGGGATGTGGGTAGTCTCGGCGGGTCGAGGGGCAGAGGTCGAAGTGTGGCCTAATGAGCCACCGCCGACGGCCTTCCAAAAGAGTCGAGGGAGGCCACTGGTCACTGACCGTTAGGTTCTCTGAAGTTCGCAAGCATGCCATCCCATAGTCGCCATTTGACAGCTTGTTGTCAGATCGAAGCTCTGCATTTAACAGAGCTCCGGGACTCATCGAAGCTGAGAGACTCCTAACAGTCAGTGATGGTCGGTTGTTGTCTCTGATCCGAACGTCTCAGGCGAACGGACTAACGACCATCGTGGGTCATCAGAATGTTGATGCTGCTGATGGAGTTGTAACGTTTGTCTCAGGCTCGAGGCTTGAAAACGCGATTGTGTTTTCGTCGTTTTGTGTTCGGGGGGAGCACTCCCAAGCAGCCCTAGCACAAGCCAACACTAGCAACAATCAAAGTCAACGCCTAACCTAACCCTAGCTAGTGGTCCGTTATTTCGTATAGACATTTTGCCATATATATATATGTATAACTAAATATTGATTGATAAATGAATGAACGGCCCCAATACTATTGTTTTTCTACTTCGATTCTAATACAATCATAATCCTCGCGATAAAAAATGATCTTGATTGATCGATATGCAGAATCAGCATCTATTCTTATCCCAAATAACAACAAAAGTCAAATACACGCGCAACATCAGAAAACGAAACAGACAAAAACGCTTATGGCACACAAAAGTCTCTTATAGAGATAATGAAAATGCCGCTAAAACAATAGAACTGTCTTTTCTCTAGCAATGTAAATATAAATATATGCATATGTAGGCGCGTAATAGGTATCTGTATTAGCGATAGCCACATAACATATATAGAACGATGTACACAATCATAAAATAAGCACGTACTTATATATATATATAAGATGCTTGCAATGTAGTAAAATGCTATATAT